GGGGGGGGCTAATACACGTACGCGCCGGGCTCAGTTGGCTAGCAAAATGACTTGTAGTGTTCAAGAGCGAGGTGGAGAGTGTCATGAAACTCATCGGCACCTTGGAGCTGTCCCAGGTGCATCCTGGCTTGGCTAGTACTTCTGACGTAGATAATCTCGTGTCATCTAGGGATGGGCACCCTTACGCCAAGTGAAGGCCTCGTTCTCGGATCTAGAGATTCCTAAGAAGAGTTGTGTGCGTGCGCCTGCATACGCATGCGCACATCGAAAGGGACACCAATACTACGTCCAGCCATTGATGCCATGTGACAACAGGTCAAGCGAAATCAATTCGGGAAGCGATGATGCCGAGAAGCCGATCATCTCTTCGTTAGACTCCTTCTATCCCTTGAGAAGAGAACCTATGATTTTCATAGTCCCTGACAATCATGCGTGCCTTGTCATCTATGATTCCGAAAGATGGAGGAAAAAAGGGACTCGTGAAATATATGTCGTTTAAAACAACGAACTTTTACCCATATCCAACAAGAGTAGGGCGTACCGAAACGCTCTCAAAGCCAAACCATGCCCAACAACGCCGTTTGTATAAGAAAGTGAGGAAGAAAAAGAAAGTTGCGCCAACCACGTCTGTTCCATTTCCAAGCAAGAGGAACGTAATACTAGTAAGAAATGGAGGAAGAAAGAATTAGAAGAATTAGAAGAACAAGAGCTCAACCATCGCCCCGTTTGGTTTTTTTTCCTCTTTCGATTGCGCCATTTCTGCAACCGATGTGTCGTTGAAGATATAGTCAGGACCCGGGAGGGAGCCCACGCTTGCAGGTGGGTAGTGCTCAGTGAAGAGGGAATCGGCGCTTGAGGCCATCGTAAACCATGAAGATAAAGGCGGAGCTCGGTGCAGAGCGCAGACAGGTGATCCCGCAGCCGCGGTACATCCCACGCAGGCCGTGCTGTCTCCACAGGGCAAGCCCCTCGTTCCAAAAGGTCCGCTTGGCCTGGAGGCCGCCGACGGGCATGGTCTGCATGCGGGACTTGATGGTGTCGGCGGGGAAGAAGAGGAAGTTGTACGAGACGCCAGCCGAGGCCCCGGCGATGGCCTGCTGCCAGAGCGGGAGGGGGTTGGAGCGGATGCGGCGGCGCTCCTCGTCCGAGGAGGCCTTGGCGATGGCCATGTTGTAGAACAGGGTCGTGGTGGTCTCCTTGGCGCCGAACCAGGCGGAGCACCCTCCCGCCTCGCGGATCAGGGTGCCCATCTGGCCGTGCCAGAAGCCCCGGAGACCCTCGTACTTGAAGATGTCGCGGACGACGGCGAAGGGTCGTAGCGGGGCGGCGGGGCCACCGTTGGGGCCCGCCTCCGCCGCCAGGGCGGGAGACTGGATCTTGCACTTGACCAGCTCGATGGGCGTGAGGACGAAGGACGTCAGCGCCCCCGAGAAGGCGCCCGTGGCCCAGAGCTGCGGGAGGGACAGGCCCTTCTCCCGCGACGCCAGCCCCGTGCTGAACAGGGCCTCGCGCCCCACGCTCTCAAACAGGAACAGGCTGCTGTTCTCGGCGGCGGCGCCGACCAGCGGCGCGCTGATGCCGCGGTATAGGCCCCGCAGGCCCTCGGCCTCGAAGGACTGGCGGAAGCAGTCGAGCGGTCCGGCGTATCGTAGCGGTAGGTGGTCCGGCTGGCTCTGGAGACGCACCTTGACTGTGTCGAAGGGGTATTCGATGTACTTACCGACGACGCCGGCGACCTGCAAAAAAAAAATCGAATAAAATTATGAGTCAGTATGTGCTTGCCAAAAGGGGAAAAAAAATCACCATCGTCAAACAGGAATTCCTCCCAAGGGTCAAGACTCACGGATCCGTAAAAGACATCCTCCGTGGCTTCGAGAAGAGCACTCCTTCTCCGACGAGTCAGGGCAGACTTTGTGGGAGTTGTGGTGGTGGAAGTCGACGGCCCCATGGCTACGGTATCATGGCTAGGGTCCATTTTCCGGGTATCTCCTGGCGCGCGCGCGAGGAGAGAAGGAGAGGGGGTGGATGGATGAAAAGGGAGAAAGAAGATCTCGTCGTAATGTAGCAGATCCAGGTAGCCCGAGATTTTCGCGCGGTAGCTGCCCAGTCACTTACACACAGAGAGCTTTTCTTGTTACCGAAGGGCAACGTGGAGCATTGTGAAGGAACCGCGCGACAGACCGATACCGGGAGAGGGGGGGGGGAATGAAGAAGAAAGGAAGATGAAGGAGGGCGGGGGGGGAAGAGAGAAGATTTAATAAGGGAAGAAGTGCCTATTCCAGGATATATGAGGCAATTCGAACCCAGTTTCGAAAGCGACGTGGGCCCGCGGGGCTGTGTGTGGTGTGTAGGAAACCTTTTGCTTTTTTTCTTTGTCTTTTTTTTCCCCCTAATATTATACGGACTCGCGTGGAGGGGAGAGACGGTGAGGGTGTGTGGTAGTGTAGTGGGTGTGGTAGTGTAGGGTGCGCCAAGGCACTAGGACTACCAAAAAAAAAAAGAGTGACAATGCGTAAAGAGGGGCGATTGATAATTTTTCTTGTCGGCTTTATCGGGTCTTATCAGACATGTTACACACGTCATTCTCGGATTCCGCTTCGAAACTTGTCTGGAATTAGCCGTCCCAGCAGGACAGAGACGATTGTATGGATGGTCTATGACTACTAATTACTGCTATTACTGCTAGCACTCAAGATAATTCGTATTTCGAAAGAAATGCATGCATGGTGCCATGGGTTTCATCATTAATCCCTCCCGCTAAGGATCCGATGCCGGTTCCTAGTTGGCTGCTTTGATCAGTATGGTACCACGCAACCCCAGTTACCCGCATCAACTTGGTCTTCTCCTCTGGTGGGTTGTATGGTAATAGACTAATCCCGAGTTCTCGCACGAGAAAAAACTGCCATTGCTAATAATATTAGTCGAATTATTCCCTCAATGGGTGCCGGTTGTATAGTAATAGTACCTGTACAGTAAGTACTACGAGTAGATAGTACCTTGCGTACGGGTACCTGAGGTAGTACTGCTTGGTAGTCGAGAGTCGGTAGTTTTAGAATAATACAACATTGACGATACACGTATTTGACGTTGATCATCCCGATAGTTCATTTCACACAGACACTAATAATATGGACACAGACGCAAGGCATTTCCCATATTCAAACATGACTCCATTTTTCTTCAGCATCCCTCATCCGTACCTGCGCTCTTGTTAAATTCTTGTTAGAATGACGAGCAAAAAAACACGCGCACATACATACTCGCGCAAGATGGTAAACCTCTTGTGTGCGTGTGTGCGTGTGTGTGTGTGTGGGTGGGTGGGTGGGTGCCATCTTTTCCCCTCTTTTTTTTCTCGTTTTCTCTTCTTAGGACTGCGCTTCCAGACCAGATCCAGATGAACTTGAAGGAGAAGAGGAAGAAGAAGAAAGACGCAGAACCGCGAGAAATCACTGCTTCTTCTTGCTCGACTTGGCAGGCGACGAAGTCTTGTTCTCCTCCTCGGCAGCCTGGGCCTCAAACTTGGCCATCTCCTCGGCATCCTTCTTCTCGGCATACCACTGGCCAGCCTGGAGAACGAGGACGCCGATGAGTACGAGTGCGAGGATGGTGTTGCTGGCGGCGAGGACTTTGAGGCTGTCTTCGCGACCGAGGAGCACCTCGCCATCGTATCGACCCTCGCGCGTAGTCTTGAACTCCTCCGTGTTCCACACTCCCGCGCTGATGGCACGCAGGCCCTTGACCGTGTTGGCAGTGTAGACGGCTAGAGCGATGAGGTACAGGATGCCCGAGGCGCCGTCGAACAGGAAGTTGGCCTCGCTGGGCCGGTACATCTTGATGGCGAAGCCGATGAAGGCTGTCGCTAGGATGATGTTGAGTACGCGGCTGATGATGGGAGGCGACTGGTGTATGAAGCGCAGGTGATTCTCTAGCTGGTCAAAGAACTCGGCCGGTATGGCCTCTTTGCTCCACAGCAGAGGGAAGTCGTACGGAAACGACGCGAAGAGAATGCCCAGGAAGAAACATGTCGCTATAGTCCGAGTTCTCCATTTAATCTTCCTCTCTCTGACTTTCATCGCGGGGGAGAAGGGGGGGTGGGGAGGGAAAAGATGACGTACGTCCAATGATCATGAATGTCGCATACGACGTGGAGCCGCGGTAGCTCTTGGACTTGGTCGTCTTGGTCTTATCAATGTACGATGCCATGTTGAAAAAGAGGAGGCGACGTCGCGCGCGGGCGTATAATCTTGGTAGCTTCTTTCTTTTTTTTTCTTATTCCTCCTCGGAGAATCTAGCGTGAAATGTCACGATATGTGAGAGACTCGTGCTTTCGGTCGAATGGGAAAATCTCGGGATTTCTCGTCAATCGTATTCGTATCGCTGCGGACTTGCTATGTCCCTGGGACAGTACTGCTCTCTTCGTCACTGCTTGAGATGGAGATTTAGGAGGGACGGGCAAACAGAAAATGAGAGAGGGGAGCAGGATGGACACATATGTAATTGATAGCCGTTTTGCTGACGAACAGACGGGCTGGGCTATTGGACCGATGAAGGGCCCACTCCTTTATCCTCTCCTTTGCCTACCAATTATCCTATTGCACATCGTAATATACGAGTGTAGTACGATACGATTTATTCGCACCAGAGAATTACTACTCACGGTACTGCTCTAGTACGATACTGGTACTAGTACGAGTGCTAACTTTTTTTTTGTTATCTCTGAGCGCGCTTGACATGATAATGAAAGCCTTGCATATTTAATAGATTGTAGTAATCTCTCTCACATGGTCGAGCCAACGAGCTCCATCAACGTCTCCTTGGTGCTGGCGTAGTCCGCGTCTTTAGAAAAGTTCGCTCGCAGGAATAGACGCGCCACTGCCTCCGCCTCTTCCAGTTTCTTCTCCTCTGATTCCGGTAGCCGAGCGCATGCGACACTGACATCTCCGTTGCGCGCCAACAGTCGCGTGATGGCCTCTGCCCGGTCAACGACGACGCGCGGTACACCGTTCAGGACCGCGCACTGCGCCCCAAAGCTTGACGCGCTGTGACCTGCGCGCAGTTGGAACAGGTAGGTGATCTGCTTGTCTGTCTGGCTTGCGCTCCAGTCCGTCTTCACCTCCATGTGTGCCATGCCAAGACCAGGATACCCATCTAGATAGCCGCCCTCAAACAGCTCGTGGAAGTGGGTCGCCAGCAGTATAAATGGTGATTCTGGTCCGCGATTCAAGAAGTGGTCGACTGTTGCCGCCAAGAGACCTGCCCCGTCCTGGCCGTTGGTCCCCTTGCCAAACTCGTCAATGAGCACCAGGCTTCTCCTTGTCGCGGTTCTCATCGCATGCGCCACTTGCCCAAGGTCGATGGAAAATGCACTTTCGGGGCGGCTCATGCTCTCCCTCGTGGACATGCGTGTCATGATCCTGTCCGTGAGCCCGATAGTGGCCTGGGTCGCTGGCACGAAACTTCCAACGTGCGCAAGGTACACGACAATAGCTACCTGTTTGAGGTAGATGCTCTTTCCCGAGTGGTTCGGCCCTGTAAGGGCCAGTGCGGTGGGTGCTTGGTCAGAGGCTTCCTCTGCATCGTCTCTCTGACCCCCGCCCAAGTAGCAGTCGTTGGGAACAAATGAGGGAACACAAAGCTCCTGGAGAGGATGACGGCCTCCTTTAATATTGAGGATTCTCGTCGTCGTGAGTTGTGGACAGACCCATCCATATTTCGCTGCGCCCCGTGCGAGGGCCATCAGCGCATCCAACTTTCCGCATAAACCCGATGCCTCGATGATTGCTTCTTCGTGGGTGATGACATTGCAAGCTAGCTCGTGGACGATTTCGACTTCTCTGTCTATCCAGTGTTAGAATGTGCTGATAACTGAGAGCTTTAGCGGGTTCAAGTGCTCACCTCCAATTTCGCAGTACATGTCTCCATACTGGTCATCGAGTTCCTTCATATACTTGTTCTTGTAGCAGACTTTCCCATCCGCATTAAACAGCCCCTCCCACTCATCATCTCCCAGTCCCTCTCCTTTGTATTTACCTCGTCGAGTCTCATGGTCGGCTTCGACAACCGTCAAGAACCCCAGCTGGGGTAGAAATATGCACGAGCGAATATACTGAGCTGCCCACTCTGGTACCACACGGCTTATAGAGTTCACAACTTCGGTGAGAAAACTCCCCATGCCGTCATATCGTCTCTTGAGCTCGTCGAGACGAGGATCAATTCCTGCTTTGACGGATGAGCGGTGACGAGAATCTGATTGTTCAAAATCGATATTCTTATCTATAATACTGCCAATTGCCATGAGCTCTCTCACCCGGATGTTCTTGACCTGCATGGCGAGGAGGGTCAGTTAAACTCCCCTTTTTTTGGATGACACACCCAGGTTTGAGCCTACCTCATGGCATATGACAACAGATTCGCTGCCTGACATCGTGCCAACAATCTCTCTCAATTTAAGAGCCTGCGATGCGAAGTCTCTAAGGATTGCCCAAGCTCCCTTGTCGAATGACTTCCCCGAAGACGGCGAGTCAACTCCTCTTTTAAGCTGCGAGAGGGCAAAATTGGCATTCTTGACTCTTTTGAGTACAGTACCCGCAAGCCTGACTTTTTCTGCGTTGTCGGGACGCTGGAGAAATGATATGGTGGCCTGTCTCTCAACAAGAACATCCATATCAAGAGTCGGACGGATAAGGATCTTGCGCAAGGCACTTCGTCCTTGCGGGGTATATGCTAGCGGATGAAGCATGCCGTATACCGAAAGTTTTTCTTTGACCTCACTGCCCCCGGGCTTGGAGCCCCATAAATGGCTGTTAAGATGGACTTCAGACTGAAGGATCCGAAGAGCCTGAAGAGTCTCAGAATTGACAATCATGCCATTTGAGGCGGAAAAGTTCTTAAGCGATCGAGCATGAAAAACGATCTCAGCAAACTGACCGTCAGGCAATTGCCCGATGGATCGTCGTCGGTGGAGGTCACCAAGAATGGCCCCGGCACAGTTGACCTAGAGAAAGTCAACATTACACAGCCAAATAGTTCAACTCAGATGGCTTACAGCGACATTGCTCTCGAGATTGACAAACGTGCCGCACCGTATCAGTTTAATATGTCGTGACTCGTGTGATCCTTCTTGACCCAGCATAGTATCCTCATCGAGGCTATCTTCCACTGTAGATATAACGGCCCGAGAAGTGTCGGTCGCTTCCAATTGAAGGCTGATCAGTCTTTCGTGGGCGGTGTGATTCGAGAATTCCGAGGCTGCGAGCGCCCTCAAGATGAACGCTCCGAAATTGGTATCATCTAGACCATGTTGTCAACATGGGACACAACACCAATGGCCCGAGACGCCGAATACCTGAACCATCCGCGTTGGCCTGCCGCTCGAGGGGCCCCAAAAGTTCTTCCGGCGCCTTGCCAGATACAAGAACCGTGGTTGGATTGACATGGGCGACATATTGTTCAATATCATCCAAGGAAGCATTGGGTATGTTTTCGGACATGTATAGTATACCGTCCTCCGTACTGAAATAGGCACATCCCATGGTGGATTTTTCTCTCATATCGATGGCCATGATTACTTCCTCGAGCACAGAGTCTTCGATACCTGCGTGAGAAGCAGTCGTGTCCTGAAGTATCTGCTCTCGATGGGTGTGCCTAGAACTCAACCCGTTGGGGACAAACATTCCGGAGGCTCTAACGGAAGCAGCTCCAGATGCATCTCCACGAGATGTTGTCGGACTGAATCCTGCTCTTGATGATGCTGCCGAGACCGACCCAGCCCACTGTTGGCGCCGACGACATGGTGTTGAGCGCGAGCTTGAGACCGAGGGCCCTCGCAACCTGGCTGATGCTGTGCGTCTGGGCATAGTGTAAGCCTCTTACTTAACGTAGCTCACTTTGAAACGAAATGGAAGTGAACAGTGAGTCCGGAATATGTCATGGACTGTTTATAGCAGGAGTATGTGGCGACAGGAGGTTGGCAGATGGCAGGAACAAGGCAGCTTGTTCCTTCCTTTCTTCCCCAAGTGGTCCCCTCTTAGGACCAGAGAGCCCAGCTAACCTGTTGCACATTGAAAAACAGACCAAGAAAGGGACAAACATAGATAGAAACAATTCATACTTTTCGTGTTTGTTTCCCAGCGATATGCAACCGGCAATACTGCTTCCGATTTCCCTTCTTATCTTCCCCGCGCCCAATACATACATAAATGCCCTGGTTCCAGTGTTCCTCTAAGCCTTGTTGTCGTTCTTTGCCCACTTTGCGAAATCGCGCCGCTGTTTCCGGATATCCACGAATCCGGGTCTCGTTTCCAGCTGGCGAAACGGGTTACCCTTAAAGTCTTTGTCGGCCTCGCCGCCGCTTCCGCGGAAGCCCTCAGCGCCCTCGCGCTCGATCTTGCCGGCCCACACGTGCCACTCGATGGGGCGGAGCTTGGACGTGCCTAGGACGAGGCCCAGGACCGTCACCAGGGTGGCGACAATCGTTTCGATGCAAATGTCCAGTGGGAGAGAGTTGACTTGCGACGACGAGTGCTGGGTCGTGACTGCGGAGAGCACGGCGTGCTCCTGGGCAGAGTAGCCGCTGTTGCAAGAGTTAGAGAGAGAGCCTTGGACAATTGGCGGGGGCAGGGAGGTGTGGAAGGAGATTACGCATGGACCAGGAGCACAAGGCCCGTTATTGTGACAATACGCGATGCCCAAGCCATGATGATGAAGTGGTTTGGGAGTGGCGTTGTGCGGGAGGGCAGCTTGGATGCGGTGGTGGGACAGCTTGGAATCTGGGGGAAGCCGAACAGCCACACGTAATACGTAGCGGATGATTACATAATGGGCTGTCTAGCTTTTACTACTTAATACTTTGCATTAATATCGCATTCACTTTTTGTTATACACATGTGCGAGAAATTGATATTGACGATAAAATTTAATTTAGACAAAATATTTATAAAAAAAGCCATGTTAACCCGAAGATATTTATACGTGCACATGTCGTGCCGTTGTCGTCCTTTAAAACCCCGATGAAGCGCATGAATGCAGCCCGCCAAACACATAAAACGCCAACAAACTCCAGCAATCATATTATACACAAATTCGAAAAAAGGAAAAGGAGAAAAAAAGAACAGAATAGAAAATAATGACCGAGGAAGATATCAACTTGTACAAAGTCAAAATCGATCAATCAAGCTGAAAATTCATGTGACCAGTCCTCCATGGCCCATGTGAACTGATGCAGTGGGTCCTCCTGCGGCGGTACGTCCAGACGCCAGCTATGCTCGTCCGTGGACAGCCCGTGATGAGGGGCAAACTTCTCGTCGCCCGTCGGCACAGACGTCAACATGGAGTCAGTCATGGCCGGGAAGGCGATGGAGGGCTCAACCTTGGGGCACGCCAGGGATATCTCGGACTCGTACAGCTCCTGGCTGGAGGGCTGAACGTCCTGCCACGAGACGACGTAGCCGCCGGGGGGCTCGACCGACCTGGAGGGAGAGGGTATATACTCACCTCCGTGGCTCGTCAAGATCGGGTCGACGGGCAGGCTGGTCAGGGTGTCGTGGTAGTACGGCGAGACGGAGCGCGGCATGGTCTCTGCAAACGAAGAGGAGCCAGCCGAACCCAAGACGAACAGGCTTCCCCCCTCGACGGTGGGGACGAGCAGCGAGCCACCGTCGTACGTGGTGGGCATGGGGCTGGTGCCGTAGGTAGAGGACGGTGCGACGGTAGAGACGGCGTAGTGAGCGGTGTCGTAGTAGACCTGGAGGCCGCGGATGCCCTCGTCGTCGTGGTGGGGGGTCCCGTAGTGAGGTTGGGGGGTGGGGGTCTGGTAGCGAGAGTACCTGCCCTCGTCAAGGGCCGGGGTATGATAGCGGGACGAGGGCCTGGCACTGCTGCCGTCGCCGGGGGGCGGGGTGGGGACGGCGGAGCTGACGGAGCGGCCAGGCGTGCTGACCTTCTTGGCTCCCGGTTTGTACTTGTAGTCCGGGAAGGCGTTGCGGAGCCCCTTCTTCTCTAGGTCCGAGTAGACGGTGTACGACTCCTTGAACTCGGCCGACTCCTTGGACCAGGACTCACCCACGAGCGACACGATGGGAGGCTGGGTCTTTGAGCGGTCCGGGTGGTGGATCTCCATCCAGGCCTGGGCCACGTCAGAGTAGGCCCTCTTGTAGAGGAAAAAGACGTTGAGGTTGCGCTTGACGTAGCCGCTCTTCATGGCCTGGCTGATGCGCTTCTGGATGTCGCGCGTCGCGAAGCTGTGCACGTCCTTGGGCTCGATGCCGTGCTTCCGGCCCCACTGGGACAGAGGCTCGACCAGGTCAGGATACTGAAGTCTCTTCCTCCTCTCCCTCCTGATGGCCTTTTTGCTGGGCTTCTTCTGATCATCCTGCGGCTGGTGCAGTCTGGTTAGCAGATCCCGGTCTTGCCCATGGGCACTCGTATAGTAGCAATGGCTCAACGTTGGCGGGACTCACTGCGAGGCTGTTGTTCTGCTGCTGCTTGACAGGGGGCTCAACATCGTCATCATAGGCGCCGGTTTCGTCAAGTGGAGGAGTGTCGTAAGCCCGACGTCCACGGTGAAGACCATCTAGGGGATGCGTAGTGGTGAGGTGTGGCAGGCTGTCACGACCATCTGTGAAGAATAGAGCCTCGTGGGCAGACGGGGTCGGCGAAGGCATAGCTATCCGACCCATTGCTGGCAAGCTGTGACGGAGTCTAAGTTGAAGGCCGTGCCACCACAGGGAAGAGAAAGAAGGATGGGCAGAAAGCAGTCGTAGTAGTAGTAGTAGCAGAGATTAGGTGCAGGGGGGGAGTGATGCTGCTCTGAGTAATATTGGAGTGAACGCCAATTGTTCAATTGAGAGATATAAACGAAAGAAGGGGTGTTTAATTAACAAAACGTTCTAAAAGACTTGAAGTCACCGGAGATGGGACACGGGTCTCTCTTTTTGTTGTCATGTTTCTATCACATCGGGGAGGGGTGGTGGGGACTTGATATTTTCTTGAGATATTCCAGCCTCCCAAGCCTTCTAACGGCAATATGCGCCCGAAGAGCTAGAGAGCTTTGTCCGTCGTCATAATAGAGAGGAAAGGGGAACATGGAGGGGGGGGGGGGCTTTTGTTCAATGAACTTGTAGCCCTACCGAATGCAGATGCAAGTGGCATCTGCACACCATCACGAAAGGCTTCTCTCGTGGAATCTAGACGGCATTTGCAGAGAACAAGTCCGTCGTAAATAGAACCCAACTGCACCAGAAGGGGGAGGGGAACAAAAAGATGCCACCACACGAGAGGGAGATCACCGCCTCGTATCAACAGGCGGATGTGATCATGAGTCTGGTGCACTCAAAAATAGCGTCTCAGGCTAATGTTGCCCTGCAAGTGTCAATGGGCCGTAGGGTCTCCAAGGCTGACTTGACGGTGGCGGTGGTGGGTGGGAAGCAGGTGATAGTCATTCATGGCCCGAGCTTTGGTTTGTTGCGCCAGTTGGAAGTTGGAAGACGATGAGTTTGTAAAGTCGGTGGTACAGAATAGGTGATACTACCAGTACGGAGTAGCAGTAGTGATAGCTGCTAGCAGCAGCTACTAGTGATAAGTAGTAGGACGTCACCAGTACCATGTCCGTATTGTATCAGAACGCCACGAGGCTGAGAGAAGGGGAGGGTGACCCTTCCAAGGCGCGCCGCGCGGAGCTGGGAGACGGCAGCCAAGTTGATGGGAACGAACGTTGTATAGCTGCGGAGACGTCAAATAGCCGCAAGGCGGACGGCGGCGATTGGTTGGAATAGACGACGAAGGTACATCCTATCCACGATGTCTTCCAGGCTCTCATCAATAGACGGCAACATAAAGGAGAGTGAGGGAGAGAGGTGCGCCGCTAGAGAGATTGCATCGTTGCAAATGGAACACGTGGGATGGACCGGATGGAACCATGAGCCGTCCAGTCTCCTAGAGATAATGAGAAACATGGGACAACCCTTGAAAGCATCCACCCAACCCATGCCATCGGTCGTACACCCACTTCCCCAACATCCATCACGTAGATCCCCCCCCAAACGTCGTCGTGACCATGCCCGCAGTTTTACGCCCGGGGTCCAAGCTTCATTCTGAGAGGCAGAATCGTGTGGTTTTTTTTCCATTGAAGGGCATCGGTGTGCCAGAAGAATGTCGAACGCTGGTGTGTTGATGATGGAGGAGAGGGGAATAGGAGAGAGGGAGGGGGGGATGAGAAAGTCCCTGTCTCACTTGCTTGTGTAACACTCCCATATTCCCTAGTACATGTAGTTTCTCCATCCTCACATTGGCTGTATTTTCTCATCAATCACATCATTAGATATTAGACTTCTGCGTTTCCCCTTGTCAAAAGCTGGGACCGCATGGTGATCAAGTGTCATCGCTCTGACTGGTCCGTCCAAACACCTGTTGGCAGATCCGTCTATTCTGACCATTTCAGGTCCCCCAAGACCACAGCCCCCTCAGAGTTGGCTCGTAAAACAAAGTCGTCGTGTGGTCGAAGACGAGAGGTTATTTTAGGAACCAACAGCCATAGCAGGAATGAATCATACAGATACACACGCATCTATCCGGTCGAAGTAGAGGGTGTATGCGCCTCCCTCTTCGTATCGGTCAATGGCAGTTTGTTCGTCCGGCGTGCGTCCAAGTTTACCCTCCTTCAGGAAGCCTACCTCACTGGTGTTCCTGGGGCTTCTGCTGCTGCTGCGGTGGCCGTGCCGGCTCAGAATGTTTTGTCGGGGGCGTAAGGATAGGTTCGCGCGGAGATGGTGAGAGGGTGATGCCAGGGGGGATTTTGGCTGGCGTGTTGTTGGCGCTGGCACTGCCGACGAAAGAGGTGGCTGATGTAAAGGAGCTCTGGGGAGAGTTCTTGACCGGTGAGATGCCGCCCTGAGCAGGAATGTTACCATTCTCCATGTGTGCCGCTCGATAGATGTCCCTGTTGATGGCGGGGGTGCTCAAGGTCGGCTCCAGCGCTGGATTCTGAGCCGACACTAGAGCTGGCGCAGGGCCTGCAGGTGTCTGTATCAGGGACGCCGCTACGGGACTCGACGCTGAGTTTTGCGGCTGTCCGCTCGTCGCCGTGTTCCTGTCGCTGCTGTTGGTTGAAGCACCTGCAGCACCCTGCTGCAGGCTCGCCTGAAGTGAGGCCGTGGCACCCTGAGACTTGCTGACGTCCGGACGTCCAGACTGTCGGACCTTCTCCATGTTGTTGCTGTTCGGTATGACCTTGCCAGGGCTGCCATCTACAGCTTCGGCCCCGTCGTAACCCCGGTGGCCTTTGACAGGAGATGCGGCCGTGTCGTACTGCCGATCATGACCTCCGGCAGGCGGTGCCAGGGGCGACACAAGCTGTTTCGTGGAGGCGGGAAGGTGGACCAAAGGACTTTTTGCTGAAGTCGGTGTCCCCTTTGTCGGTGAACTTGGCTTCTCCTGAGGCGAAGATCCAACAGGGCCGACCGGCACCTCACCCGCCGCCGATGTCCCCCCCTCACCACCACTAAGCGAGCCTGAGCTATTATTGGAAACAGCTCCCGGACGGCCAGCCGGCAATACCTCGTCCGCCGCCGATGCCTCCTCACCACCAACAACAACACTGCCACCGCCAGGCGGCACATATGACGGCCCCCCCGATGATGCAGGGCGAGAGTTGACAGCAGCGACGGCGCTAGGACCATTGATCCGTAGCCGGATGGGAGAGCGTGGGGCGTTTTGGAGCTCTTCTGTGCGGCGGCGACAAGGGTCGCAGATGAAGTGGAAGTCAGCCTTCTCAGCGTCACCCTCACTGATGCCAAGACACTTGCTATGCTGCCAAACGTTGCATTTCTCGCAGGCCACACTGTGTGCTCCATCGTCCACTTGGCCATACAGACCGCAGCTGCAATCGAATACCCAGTCCTCATCCTCGTCTTCCAGGTCCTTGAGTGCCTGTCTGCTCTTTTGGATCTCGGCGTGCAGCCGACGTTCCGACCCTCTGCCGCTGCTGTCATCACCATGGCGCTTGCTGTCGTCGGATAGCTGCGCAAGCTCCTCCTCATGGCGAATGCGACGAATCTCACGCTCCTTCAACCGCTTCTCCCTCGATGCCATCCTGATCTCCCTCTCTTGTTCGATCTTGAGGCGGGCTCGCTCTTCTCGTCGTGCTGCTTCCTCTGCGAGTCGGAGTTCCTTTGCCTGCTCCTTCTCCACCTCTTCCTGCTTCTGCTGCTCCATCTTTCCGGCAATTCGGCTCGAACGTTTAGCGTTGGCCATCTTGGCCATGTTGAGGAGCTCTCGCTCGCGCTGAAGAGCCTTGCGCTTCCGGCTCTCTTCCTGCTTCTCGAGAATCGGGACCAGGTAGTCCTCCAGCTGCTTCCGCAGCACCTTTTCGTTCTCATCCCGCGTTTTTCGGAAACTGTCGACGAGTTCTCGGACTTGGTCCAATGTGATGGCGAGGCATTCCCATTTCATTCCGCCGAGACCGTCATCTTGGGGTTCCATCATGCTCTCCTCCGCTTCGGACGCGTTGCCTTCTTGCTCATCTTGTTCGGTTTCAGCACGACGCCGCTTGCTGCTGCGGGCGCGACCGGACCGGTAGTACGACTTCTTCCTCTTGGGCTTCGGTGGAGCGGGAGGCGCCTCGGTTAAGCGATAGACGCGGTTGTCGTCGAGAACAAAGTAGGTTCGGTCATCGCTGTCCCATCCGTAGGGTTCTATGCGCTGTTGGTGATGTCAGTGCAAGCGCAACCGGAGGCATCGTCTGTGTGATACTTACCCAAGTTGTTTGATCAACATCCTTCTGCTCTTCCATTTTGTCGCGGATGCGTTCAGGATATATCATTATCCATTGCGTCATCTGCTGCAGAACCCGTATCTGCATACATATCGCATTAGTATATCACGCAGGATTGCGCAGAGGGACAGAGGGAATATAACCCTACCTTAGTGGCCGCATCGAAGTCTTGAAATCGTCGGGGCGCGTCATCGGTTCCGAAGGGGTTCGCGTCGGGCGCCTGGTCGAGGTACAGCTTCCTGGCTTGGCTATCGAAGATGTCGAGCCTATTCGAAAACACGTTAGCTTGCCGTCAGGCCGTACTGTCGTTGCGTGAGAGAATGCGTACGTGAGACCGCGATGTGATGAAATAAGCTTTAGAAGTGCCAAAGCAATATCCAGAAGAAGTGTCGATTCGGGGTTAAGGCAGCCAGCTTCGAGATGCTACAGATAGATAATGTCAGTATTGGTTTCTCATTCTCTCATACGTGACCCCCGGGGTCTCGTAGACTGACCTCGACGTCTATCGAGTCGTCAATCTTGGCAGCCTTGCCAAAGGTATACATCCATTGGCAGAAGTTGGCAAACTGCCACATGCCACGGATCTTGGCCAGGACGGAATCGCCCTGAAGCGGCTCGTCCGCGGCCTCCAGGTGGGTGCGTTTCCGGGACACCATGGTCGGTCGCGGGATATTAACGAGCAGTTATCTGTGTATCCGTTCGACCGTATGTGAGTTCTGAGGGAGAGCAGACCGAAAGGAAGTTAGGATGTGACGGGCTATGACGACGGGCTACTCGAGGGTCATCCAAAAGCTGAGGCTCCCCTGTGTGAATTCTATGTCGAGAAAGTTGGCTGGTAGGTCGTGGCGCGTAGCGTGGCTGTACGACTTTCACTCGCGCGAGTGCATGTACTCATACCGCGTAACCCTGTCAGTTATGCAAAAATAGAAAGGGTACAAGGGCGAGAGCAGTAAAACAAGGGGCTACGAAGTACTCCGTATCCCATGCGTGCGGATAATACGGAGCTCATGCAAAGGTCCAGTGAGGATTTCCCCCCTGTATTATTTCTACTCGTCTTTCTCCTCCTTATGAGTATTGCGAGCAGCATGCAGCGAGATACGGGAAACCCCAGGGAGTCCCCCGTCAAGGTATCCAGTCTCTCCAGTCTCTTACGTAGCACGAAAAGTTGGAAAGAGCCCCCATTCCCTCCCCCCCAAATACGTCCCTGGCAGCGACATGACACAGTGCCGTCTGAGATTATCGGTACTGCTAGACATACCCATTTCATTACTATTTTAAGAAACTCTACACTGTGCGTATTCGATTTCCCTTGGCGAACCGGGGGGCTATTACTCCGTATTCAACGCTTTGCTGGTATTATCCCGTAGTATGCACTCCTACTCGTACATTGGCAGTGTCGGCGCGGCACCTATACTGAACGGATACTTCTCTCGTCTTGCTTGTCCATCCTTTTGTCTCTCGTTTAAACTATACCACTATACTACTGTTTTCTTCCTTCTTCTCCTACTCCTTCTCCTTGCTCATCACCTTCGTTTTTCCTGCTTCATCGTCGCCTAGAGGGAGCCTCGAGATGCTGCCTGGCGCTGCACTCCTCCATCAGCGAAGCCGTTCGTTGTGAGCATTGTTTGCAATCCGACCTGTTCCTGGCTGGGGTAGATAGCCAGACGACGCTTTTACTTCTTTCGACTCGATGTCTTCAGATCCTCCTGGCCGCTCCCCGATGTCCCGGCGGCAGTCCATCCCGCTACAGAGCCTCGGGATTCCCGGCTCCAACGATGACGCACCATCCCACGATGGTTCCCAGCAACACCTCGAGTCTGCACGGCAACCACAGTCCCCCGGCGGTCCTGGGGCGACGTCTCTCGCGACAGTATCACCATACTGGGATCAACCATACGACACGCCGTCCGCTGCCCACGACCATCCCAGCTCTCCCATAGACGTGGCAGCCTTACAATCTGCCCTCCCACCGGCCTTCCACAACTCAAGACATGATGCAGGCAGCATGTCGTCGTGGCAGGCCGACCGGGAGCCGCCGTACATGGACGAGTCGCCAAACCACGACTTTGCCGACGCCGATACCATCCCCCTCACCTCGAATCCTCAGCACATATCAGGGGCGCTCTCTCCTACGGCCATGGACGTCCAGTCCCGGGATAGCTTCCAGACCGTCTCAGACCTCGACAATGGCGCCCGCACACCTCGCGATACACTACATCCCGACGACGATGTCGAGTTTGGCCGCCGCTCGAGGCGACACAACTTTGGCCTGACCCTGGCGCCCGACCAGTTTCCTTCTGCTGGAAACCGTTCTCGCTCGCCGTCCGTGACTGCGACCGGGGCATTGCAGCGCGCTGGGTCCATTGTTCGGGCAATGTCGCAGCGTGTCGTCAATATCAGCGGCGATGCAGAGATTGCCGACCAGCGCGCATCGATGCACAGGTCGAGGTCCCCGAACGGTTCTGACCGCCACCGCAGTCGAGACGCATCACCCATCCCGTCACCCGTGGAGGAACCGGGCTCTCGGTCCCCAATCCGGTCTCCTGGGGAGAAGGGTGGCGCACAAGACTACTTCTCTACCCCGATCCCGGACCCAGGGCCGCGCCAACCGCCCCCGAACCCCCTCAAGGGCCGTACCTTGAATATTTTCGAAGCAAACAACCCCATTCGGCTCTGGCTCTGTGACCTCTTGGTGAAGCCTTATACCGAGCCCTTGATCCTGTTGCTCATCATTCTCCAAACCGTTCTGCTCACAATCGAGTCGGCTTCTAACGTCTTCACTCCTGGCCACGAGCGACCAACCCACTGGGGTCACCGATGGATCGACTGGGCGATGCTGGGACTGTTCATCGTCTTCACTCTGGAGCTCATCGGCCGCATCATTGTTTCTGGCTTCTTCCTCAATGCTGCCGAGTACAGCACGATCGACAGGTCCAAGGGTATCCGTGCGGCCGTTGTAGACCAGTATAGATCTATATTTCAGCCGCACAACAATCGCAAGTCTGCCAAGGTTAGCAGCATTCTCCCGCCTGAACCAGCGACCATTTCACGCTCCTTTACAACCCTCATGCAGACCCAGCAGACCATGCCAGAGACGCTTGAGGAGCAGCAGCGCTTCCAACTGGCCCGTCGCGCCTTTCTGCGTCACTCTTTTAACCGCCTAGACTTTTTGGCCGTGTGTTCGTTCTGGATGTCGCTCATTCTAAGCATTTCTGGAATCGAGCACGCCTCCCATTTCTACCTCTTTAGAATGCTTAGCTGTCTCCGTATTCTGAGGTTGCTAGCAGTGACACACGGAACTTCGGTAAGGAACGACCCGATGTACTTTGTCATACTTTACCAGCAAGACACGGCTATCTAACTGCGTTTCTTATAGATAATCCTGCGCAGTTTGAAAAAGGCGGCCCCTCTCCTTGTGCGGGTTGCCTTTCTCATTCTCTTCTTCTGGCTTGTGTTTGCCATTATTGGTGTACAGAGTTTCAAGTCGAGTCTGTCACGTCAGTGTGTCTGGCTAGATCCTCTAGACCCAACGAACATGTCAGCCTCCTACACGAACGAAGATGCATTCTGTGGCGGTTATCGGGACAACAATACCGGCGCCATCCTGCCGTGGGTGACCATGGCCAATGAGGGCTCGCTGGACCTACTCGTGAAGGGAACTGAAGATGGCAAGGGTTTCATCTGTCCTCGAGGTTCCATATGCCTGCAGCAACAGTCCCCGAATGGCGGAACTGTCAACTTCGACGACATTGCGCATTCGTTCGAACTCGTCTTTGTCATCATGAGTGCCAATACATTTTCGGACCTCATGTACAACACCATGGGATCAGACTACTCCCTAGCTGCCTTGTTCTTTGGGGCTGGCATCATGATCATGACGCTATGGCTTGTCAACTTGTTGATTGCCGTCATCCTGTCTTCCTTCCAGGTCATCCGCGAAGAAAGTAAGGCCAGCGCATTCACCGGAGGGTCCAATCGAGTCTCCCTGCTGGATCCTGAAGAGGCAATGCGACGCCTCTCCGGCCTCCAGAGATGGTACAACAAGACGCGCTATGTATGGGTTGGCATCATTGCCTTTAATCTCCTGAGTCAGGCTCTCCGCAGCACAGTCATGCCACCCAGCCGCGAGGCTTTCATCCGCCAGGCCGAAATCTTCGTGACCATTATGCTCGACGTCGACATCATTCTACGTCTCATAACCAACCGGCGGAGGTTCCACAAGAGTCGCGCTAATCTGTTCGACCTGTTCCTCGCCATTGTCACTTCTGTCATCCTCATACCGCCCATTCCTGAGTCTGAAGCATACCGGTGGCTCACCGTCTTCCAGATCCTCCGGGTCTACCGAGTCATCCTGGCCATCCCAGTCACCAGAAAGATCATTATGCTCGTTCTTGGCAATGCTGCTGGTATCGCCAACTTGACGATGTTTGTCTTCCTCATGACGTTTCTCATGGCCATTCTGGCAGCTCAGCTGTTCAGGGGCGAGATACCAATCCATGACGACGGGGAACTGAACCGAGTTTCATTCTACACCATCTACAATTCGTTTCTGGGCATGTACCAGATTTTAACCAGTGAGAACTGGACCGACATCTTGTATCTCGTTGGAGAGACCCTTCACCCCTACAACACTGCCTGGATTGGAATCGCCTTCTTGGTCGGCTGGTTCATTGTTGCCTTCTTCGTTCTGGTCAACATGTTCATTGCTGTCATTCAAGAGAATTTTGACGTGTCGGAAGACGAGAAGCGACTAGAGCAAGTCAAAGCGTTTCTGCAGAAAAAGGACATTGGAAACAACTCAAGCAACCTCGCATTGTCGACCATCTTCGGCATGGGCAGGGCACGACACCGGAGAGATCCGCTCGACTATGGGCCAGCAATCACCGAGATGCTCCTCAAGGACGCGGTCGTGCGTGAGTTTCTCGACGAGCCCACCGAGGCCGAAGACCCTACCATGGATCACGGTCTGCATCATCGGGCGAGAATACTCGATCCCCAGGACAGTTTGACCGGCAGGATCTGGAACAAGCTGGCTCATCGGTTCACGAAGCAGGAGCCCAACCCATTCTACACCAACACTACCCACGACTACCTGAACGACACGACGCTGAATGCACGCGAGATGGCTAAGCAGGCTGTGACGGCGGCGACATCGCGGCGCAGGGCGCAGCGCGAGTATCTCGCCAGGCACCCCACGTACAACGTGTCATTATACCTCTTCGCGCCGCATAACAAGATCCGCCGTCTCTGTCAAAGGTTAGTCGGCCCGGCTAGGGGGAGCGAGCGTTTTGATGGAGTCGAGCCCAATAAATTTGCCTGGTACATCTACTCGGCCTTCATCTACGCCATCGTCGTGGCCATGGTGATCATTGCCTGTATTACGACACCGCTGTATCAGAAGGAACACCAAAGGCTTGACGAGAACCCGTCCACCTTCAAGTGGTATGTATGGACGGATCTTATCTTCTCCATCGTCTTCACCATCGAGGCCGTCATCAAGACGATTGCCGACGGGCTCATCTCCACGCCCAACGCCTACCTCCGTAGCTCCTGGGGCTTCCTAGACTCGATCGTGCTCATCACCCTGTGGATCAATGTCGGCACACTCTTCATCAACGACGGAGCCATCTCTAGAGCCGTTGGCGCGTTCAAAGCCCTGAGGGCGCTACGTCTGCTCAACGTCAGTAACAGCGCGAGAGATACGTTTCACTCCGTCATCATCATGGGATGGTGGAAGCTATTCGGTGCCGCCGTCATCTCCATCTCTTTGCTAATCCCGTTCGCCGTTTACGGACTGAATCTCTTTGGTGGCATGTTGGTCAAGTGCAACGATGGCGACAACATCATCTTCCTGACGCAGTGCTTCGGAGAGTTCAACAGCACCCCTTTCAGCGAAGACTGGCCGATGCTCGCACCTCGTGTCGCATCTAACCCATTTTTCGACTTTGATGACTTTGCCTCGTCTCTCTTCGTTCTCTTCCAGATTGTCAGCCAGGAGGGCTGGGTTGATGTGTCTTTCACCGCCCAGAGCATCACTGGAAAGCTGCGGCAGCCGTCAGACCTGGCATCGCAGGGCAACGCCATATTCTTCGTCGTCTTCAACCTGCTCGCGACCATCTTCATCCTCACCCTGTTCATTTCTGTCTTTATGCGCAACTACACCGAGCAGACCGGCATGGCATTCCTGACGGCGGAGCAGCGCTCGTGGCTGGAATTGCGAAAGCTGCTACGGCAAATCTCGCCGTCCAAGAGCTCGTACACCAAGGTCGGCCACCAGAAGTGGAAGCAGTGGTGCCACAAGAGAGCGACTGAAAAAAGCGGCAAGTGGTACCAAGGAGTGACGCTCATACTGGTACTGCACTTCATTCTACTCATCGTGGAATTTGCTGGTGAGCCATTCTGGTGGACATACACGCGCATCGTCATCTTCCTCTTGTTCATCTTCATCTACATTGCCAACATCTTTGTGAGGATAGTCGGACTAGGGTGGAGCCGCTTCCGGCGGAGCTCTTGGGACTTGTACTCTCTCTTCTGCGTGTCGGGGGCGTTCATCACCACCGCGGCCGTACTGGGTCTCAACAGCAAGGACACGGTAATGCAGCTGCACAAGGTATTCCTGGTGTCCATCCTGTTCCTCATCATCCCGCGCAACGACGCGCTGGACCAGCTATTCAAGACGGCAGCAGCCAGTCTGCCGGTCATCAGCAACCTGCTAGCGACGTGGCTGGTGCTGTTCCTAGTGTTCGCCATTGCCTCTACGCAAGCGTTTAGTCTGACGCGCTTCGGCGAGGAGGCGGGCAACGACATCAACTTCCGCAGCGTGCCCAAGGCGCTGATCCTGCTGTTCCGCACGAGTTTCGGCGAGGGCTGGAACGCGGTCATGGAGGATTTTGCGGCCATCGAGCCTCCACTGTGCGTGGACAATGCCGACTTCTTCCAGAGCGACTGCGGCAGCAAGAACTGGGCGCGCTTCCTGTTCATCGCGTGGAACATTCTGAGCATGTACATCTTTGTCAACCTGTTTGTGTCACTCATCTACGAGAGCTTCAGTTACGTGTACCAGCGGTCGAGCTGGGTGGCGGCCGTGGACCGCGACGAGATCCGACGGTTCAAGGAGGCTTGGCGCAGCGTCGACCCGGCGGGCACAGGGGCTATCAGCAAGGAGGTGTTCCCGAGGCTGCTCAGCGAGCTGTCGGGCGTCTTCCAGATGCGCATCTACGACGGCGAGGACTCGGTGCACTCCATCATGGACGATTCGCGGCCCGGCGAAGACGAGGCGGCAGCGGCGCGGGCCAACGGACACAACTCAATTGTCGACGTGAAGAACAACCGCATCGATGTCAACAAGCTCAACCAGAGGCTGGACCAGCTCGACGTGGTCAAGATCCGCGAGAAGCGTCGCCGGTTCAAAATTTTCTACGAGGAAGTTCTTGTCAGCGCAGACCCGGACAGGGGCATCACCTTTACCAGCGTCCTCATGATCCTCGCGCACTACAACATTATCAAGGATAGCAAAAGCCTCAAGCTCGACGAGTTCCTGCGTCGTCGTGCCCGTCTGCAGCGAGTCGAGGAGTCTGTCCGTCGCAAGACGGTGCAGGGGTTCTTTGACACCTTGTGAGTCATTCCCCTCCATCTCACTTTCTTTTTCCCCTCATTTCTGTCTTTCTCTCGTCCTTCAATCGGCTCCCCCCTCTCCCAGGAAAGAAAGAAGAAGGAAAGTCTAATAAAGTGCAGGTACTGGACTAGAAGATTCAAGAAGCACATGGAGGCGAAGCGCGCGTCACGCATGACAACGATACCCCAACTAGACATCCCGGACATCTTTGTCGATGACAACGAGACCTCTCAGGCGCGCGGGTCGCTGAGTCCAGGCGGGCCGACCACGCACCTCAGCGTCCAGGGAAGCATTGGCGGCTCTGGAGGTGACTACTTTGGCTCGCAGCCGTCGTCGCCGGACTCGCCCAGCAGCAGGAAGGGAAACCCAATCTCTTGGCACGGCGCGGGAGACCGCCACCCGCTGAGCTTCCCCCGGTCGGCGACATCATCACCCTCACCTCCAGGGACACCGCTGGGGATGGGCTTCGATGCTCTCGACGGTCAAGGGGGAGCACGTCGGTCGTCTGGCGTGGACCGCACAAGCAGCAGCCGCAGCAGAACCGGCAGCGTGTTGAGTCCGACACAGGCTAGCGATATGCTAGAAGACTCCATCTGGCTCGAGACGATTCGGCGAAGCACGACGATTCGCAGACCTCCTCCGTCTGGCTGATTTGCCAAGTTATTCTGCATATTTCACTCGTTTGCCATCTTTCATCTAGACATGTTGGCCCTTCCTTTGTCTTTCTATCCATGTCTTTTTCTTCTCTTTCGTCCATTTTGTGGTATTCTTGTTGCTGGTTAATGATTTTCTTTTTTGTCATGTGCATAAACAGAGAGAGATGAATGATCGGACTTGCAAGGTAAAAACAGCGCGGCGTTCTTTTTCCTGTGTGTTTTCTATTCTTTTTGGAGAGATATTGTAGATATGATAGATGTGGAATTTTTGCCAATGGGTGACTTGAGGATGTTCTTCTCAAGGGAGGACAGGTTAATTTCAATATATTCCATATTTGGTCGCCATGCAGTCTTAGTCCTACCGCTACCGTCAATCCTATGCAGTTCGATCGTTGTAGAGTCCAGACACATGATTTGCATTACATTCCTGCCCAGGTGCATGATGATGTACGACTCCCGTAATAACGATGATGATGGCGCAGCAAGGGGCAAAAATAGAAGAGCGAGCACACGTACCATCTCGTGACGATTATCATTTGAACGTAATGGCGTTGATTAACCAGACCCCTCCCCCCTCCCCAGCGAGATATAAATGTGGAGGGGGGGGGGGGGGGGGGGGGGGGAGTGTCCTTCGAAACGTCAGGTGCGCAAGTTTTGACCAGATAACATTCTCTCACTGTATCATATAGAGAAGAAGAGGAAGAAGAGAAAGAAGCAGAAAAGTTATACACGTAACACGAGTGCTTGGGTATGGGATGTTTCAGAATCTGTAAGGGCCCGGGGCAGTCCCCACCAATGTGTGTGGCAAGGGTGATGATGCAAGAGGCATACGTTGACAGGGCCGTGGTTCGTACCTACTACAGATATCACGCCGTACTAGTGGTAGGGTAAGGAGTAACAGCTATTATTTACTCGTAGAGAAAGTGAGGGAGAGAAAAAAGGTGAAACGACATTCAGGGGGGGAGGGGGCATGAAGCTCCTCCGTACTGCAGTTTGTGTGTAGTACGAGTGATTGATTGCAGTGGAATGGCATCAAGGAGGCATGGCATCCCCCCCCCCCCCCCCCCCCCCCCCCCCCCCCCCCCTGCTTCAGGTACACGGGGGGGGGAGACGGTAACATTTGCCTTGGCTTCTGTAGACTGTATTGTACCCGTAAAACTTGGTTACTCCGTAATGAATCCGTACTATCGATTCTTGAACCAATACTACTCACTTCTACGAATAGAAGCAATGGCTCTCTGCCTGTATGTACGTAGTAGCATGGACGTAGTATGGACGTAGTAATACGTAGTTCCTGTGGCTTCGCCTCCCTCGATAGAAAAACGCCATCCATCGCCCTTTCTCTTCCTTTCTCTTCCTTCCTTCTCCCTTCTGGCACTAGGGATAACCTCCAAAGTCTTGCAGCACATCTTGTTTTATTTCCACCTTCTTTATACATCTTCTCTCCTATATCACAGGCTGGTTCCTGGGCATTCTCTTCTTTCTTCAATCTTCACACACTCTCTCCGTCCTTGTGCATATACTGCTACAACTCTCTTCACACGCACACCCACGGCCGCTTCACATCAGACCTCGAGGCGCTTAAAAAAGAGAAGATATTGAACAAATCAACATCGAGCACACAACACCACACCACGCATACCCTCGACACCTATAAAGATGGTCTCCCTCCGTCTCCGTAGCCTATCCGGCCGCTTCTCCCTCCGCCGAGCATCGTGGGACTCTACCCGCTCCACCTCCACCACCGCCTCCGAAACACCGTCCTGCGTTTCCGCCTCCACTGCCGCCGGCGCCGTCAACAGCTCCATCTCTCGCGTTCCCAGCATCGCCGGCCTTGTCGAGGAGCACAGAAACTTCTCTAGCGAGCTCGGTATCCTTGAGCCTAGACCCGTCGTCTACTGGGAGAGCATGGAGGAGAAGATGGGCATGACGCCCCTCGTCGTTTGAGTAGACTGGCTCTTCTCGACTCGTCTTCTTCTCCTTCACTCCTCTCCTCTCCTCTTCTTCTTCTTCTTCAACCCTTTTTGGATTTCTTTTCTTTTCTGAGCGTTTTTACGAAACATATGGCGCTTTTCGGTGGTCTTTTTCTTCCTTCCTCTCGCGTCATATATTAACGATTATGCGATTTGGATTTTTTTTATTAAACTGTGACGTTAGATACGTCTGGCGTCAGATGGACGATTGTCAGCTAGGTCTTTGAACCTAGGAAAATATACAATTTGATTTTTTTTTTTGCCCGCATGAAACTCTCAAATGGTGCGCCTCTTCAAAGCTTGCTGTATGCAGTGTCCGTGTTATATGATGGATCGATGTAGGTATTACATCTCAAACAGGCCCATACACAACATATCCATTCATCATCCAAAATATATTATGTACGTCTAATTCATGATTTTTTCCTCGGTCTGTCCTCGCGAAAGCTAATCACATGATCCCGTAGCCCCAAGGTATATATATATATATATGTGTGTGTGTGTGTGTGTGTGGCGTTTGTTCTGCCACTTGCTTCCTGCTCTTGCTCTCCATTCTAATACCGAGTATTGTGGATGTCGAGAACGATGATATCGTGGGCCCCGACCTTTGTCAGGTCATCCATGACAGTAGCAATCTTCTTCTTTTCAACCATGCAGCTGACGGCGACCCAGCCCTCCTCGTCCAGCGTTGTGACGGTAGGGGCCCTCTTTCCGGGAGTGATCTTGGTGGCCTCCGGGAGCCTGGAGCGCTCAATGTTGTACTGGCACAGGACGAACTTCTGGGCAGTGATGACACCGCGGATGCGCGAGGTAACGAGGTCGATGGTGGCCGGGTTCGAGGGGGATCGCGACTTGATCAGGACGGCCGTGGATTCGACAACTGTGTCGATGGCCTTGAGGCCCGCAGCCCTCATTGTGTCTCCAGATTCTATTCGGTCAGAGTCAGATAGAGAAACCAAGAGAGGGAGAGGGTGGGGTGAAAGAGAGCAAGAGACAGGAAAGGGAAAAAGGAAAAAGGAAGGGAAAAAAACTCACCAACAAGGTCGACGATACCGTCGGCAACACCAAGAGCACAGGCAGCCTCGACACTCCCACTAAGCTCTACAATGTTGGTGCGGAGCTTCCTGGACCCGGCGGTGGCCTTCTCGGGGTTGGCCTCCCCGTCAGCCGCAGCCTCCAGGCGGGCAAAGTGGTCGGCGGCCAGGCTGACGAAGCTGGTGCCGATGTTGGCGCCGACGAGGTCCTTGGTGGCGGTATACCTGCCGTTCTCGGGGACCTGGACCTGGAGCTTGCAGCCGCCGAAGCCGAGGTCCATGATCATGTCGCAGCCGCCGCCGGGCTGGATGGAGGCGGCGGCCTCGCCCTTGGCCAGGGCGGCGGCCGCGGCGCCGGCGGCATGCTCCTCCACCTGGTCCCACCCCGTGATGCCAATGTCGACGCGGCCCTGGCCGACGAACGTGGGGATGTCAGCGGCCGGGAGGAAGACGAGGGCGATGGGGAGATTCTTGACCAGCGCAATGTCCAGACGGTTCTCACGGCGGAACTGGATGTCTGCTCCCTCTAGGAGGTTGAGGGCAGCGGCATTCAGACGGCCCTCTTTGAGCCAAGGTTAGCCATCAATCATTCCGTGTCCCTCGTTCTTCTTCTTCTCTGGTGGAGGAAACATCGCGCGGCATGGACAGTCATTCGACTGAGGTGGGTGGGGGGGTTGAGATGCGTTCTACTCACTCTTTGGCACGGCAAAGAGAAGACGGCCTTCGAGGCTGGATGTTGGTGCATTGTCAGTCTTTTCTTTTCTTTCTTTTTTTCTTTCTTCCTTCTTCGTCTTCTGCTTCTTCCTTAACCCCTCCCCCTCATTGGAGAAAGCTCGAGACGATGCACAGACTCACTGTTTGACGAGATCCATTGTGCAAGATGATCCGTATGGCGAGAGGAGAAAAATTCTTGGGTGATTGCTTCTGCTTCCTCTTCGTTCTCGAACACGACGAGCCGAGGGGATGAGAGCGAGCGGGATAGGACCGGAATGGTATTGTGTGCCTGAGAGTGACTCGATCCCAATGGCAGCTCCGACCGCGGGGCAGAATATTCAATGGGTGACTGCTCAGTGGTCCAAGCCACAATGGAGGGGCAGGAATTCTCCCCAGGGTTGTGTATGTGGCTGGTGATATGTGGCTAGTGTGCTCCGTAATGGCTCTCAAATCCTGCAATCTTGGTTCAGGCCCCTCTTAGCCCCTCCAACAAAAATTTGGGTGGGCTTCAGCCTTCAGGGCGGTTGGGGGCCACTGATATTTCCTGCTTACCATCAAATCTTCCACAGTCCAGAGAACGAGGCACAATGTCAATTTTAAGGGTGAATCCCATCGTCCTGATATACGAGTAAAGCTTAGTAGTACTAATATTGCTGGAGTAACTACTGGTCATGTTTTCCCTAGCTCTGTCTTCCTCTTTCTTTCCTTGCAAGCTGCAAAATTCTCCTCTCTCTCTCTCTCTCTCTCTCCCCCTCTGTGTGTATCTTCGTGCAACGACAATTCTCAACGTCGCACTCCGATACCCCATAACGAGTGCAACAGCGGCAGCGGCAGCGGCAGCACAACATCAAACCGGGGAGGGGGAAGGTGAGGGGGGGAGGTGTACATCAAACCGTCTGGGGGGGGGCCGCACCCCAGCCTCTCTTTCCCGTCACATATAAGCTCTCATGGGTTCTCTCCTCTTGGCGACACCATCTTCAAGGGCATGTCACTGCATCAACGTACCGCAGGGGGTAATTGACGCACAGAAATTCGAAGGGGGGTGAGGGGGAGGGGATATCGAGATTCGACGAGTCACCTCATCAACGTTCCAGCTTGCTGGTCACTTTTTTTTCTGTTTGTCTCTGATACGGACGGGCTGCAGAATTTTGCAGCCGTGTTGTGCGTGTAGTCTATCTGCAACATTGCGACATTGAGCGATGGTCAACAGTCGGTGATGGGTACAACCTCTCTCTCTCTCTCTCTCTCTCTCTCCCATGCTGTATTCCCCTCTTCCTACGACCATGCTCCCCAGCTAGTCAGCCACACACACGTACACACCGCTATTAGTAGTCGAGTTGACGGGTACAGGACCGGGCCTGAAGTTGCGCGGTTCGGTGACACGGCATCGGTACGGAGTAGTATGTTGCAATGGTATCGCGACTGTGCAGTTAGAGTACAGGTATTATGTTACCGGCTTCCAGCATCGAAGAGTGGAAGTGGTAGTCGGCGTCCCCCGAGACAAAGGCATCTCCTCACTCGTCAAGGCGGACTAAACATGCTGCAATATAGCAGAGCAATTATTGTAGATATACACTAGTCCTTGACTAGCAATGCTGCTAGCGATATTGCTAGGCAGCAGATGAGGCGGAAACTATTATCCCCGACGACGACCGCGACGACGCCGACGCGATTGGCATGACTCTGGCCAGCAGTTACCTGTTGCTTGTCAGAACCAAGATGCACTAAGGATTCAGCTGGGTGTACAAGTGCCACATGTACAGTCGAGTACTACCGAGTCCCGACATGATGGATGGTTTCCTCCATGCTGCGTACGGAGGAACCCGTACGGCTTACCGGTGGCAGTATCGTGGATAGCGGAAGACGTGGCGGGCACTGAAGGCCATCAGCATTAATTAGCAGGCCCGAAGAAGAGGGCCAAGGGACGAGTACCGCAGGTGTCGGTTGTACAGTGACCAGTGGTGCAGGTTGCAGCTCCGCATAATGTTCACCAGGCCCGCGGACCCGCCTCGTCTTTTGGTCTTGTTTGACGGGCCTGTCTTCTTGACGGGGGATCCTCAATGATGCAGTCTGCAGTCCTGAGTGCAGAAGAGGAGTTGGCAGGGTACTGCTACTATCCGTACAGGTAGTACGGAGTACAGGTACTAGATAACGTAAGGATCCCTGCCGGCATGTCTTCCAGGCTCGACGCGTAATACAGTATCTGTAATCTGTAACCTGTACTCGTACCTGGAGACTCGTACCTGTACATAGGCTCGTACCTATAGTCCTGTTGAGTAGACCTGGAGCCTGGAGGAGATCCGGGTCGTGCACCAACAAGGCCCTAACAGAACCGCTAGACTCCGGAGAAGCTGTATGCTTGGACCTTTGACGAGAGGTCGACAACAAGAGGCTGAAGGCGGGCACGTTTCGTTGCTGTCCAGTGGTTAGGACTCTTAGGTTTTGAGGTAATACGACTCCGTATTACGGCTTGCGGGCATTGGCACTAAATAGCGGTAATAAATCAACTGTTCCTTGTAGTATCCGTACTGCGTATATTACTGGTAAACGGGAATTGACATCCCCAATTCTTTCCTGGATTTTACGCCACAACGTCCACACTCTCTGTACGGACTCACAGGTAAAGAGGCACTTTAGCGCTCCTTCTTTCGCTCCCGCACTCTCCAATCTCCACTTGCCGCTGCATCGTCTATTACGAGTGCCACCCCCAACCCGGACGCCCCCAACCCGGACGATTGAGGGGAGGACCAGTCATTTATCTTCCTCTCCCTCCCCGGCTCCCCTGCTCCTCTGACCCCGACAGGTCTCGACCGGAAGCCGTCGTCCAAGCAAGCGCGGCAGTCATTGTCTGGAGATTCTGATGACCCGTATCGACTTCCTACCACTGCCTGGGTGAAGAGACTCTCAACTCCAAAGAAGCTCTACCGCCAACGCCCGCGATTCCAAGACGGTCTCGTCTTGCCGCTCAATCGTCGGCTTTGAGGAACCGTCCCGACTGACGCCCAACAGGCCCCTCCGTCTGAGACAACGCGCACTCGCATGCAGCATCCCTCCTCACCGGTCACCCAACACCCCCCGCATACCGACCGCTTCGACGTCCGCGCCGAGCCCCTCTCCTCCGTCTGGACAGACCCTACGGGAGCAAGAAAAGAGTGAAGACCGACGTCTCTGCCGTTTTGTTCAACACGCAACACGAGCTGCCCGTCCGAGACCCGTCCCATTCTCTCACGCTGCTCCGGGATTCTGGAGTCTTGCGCGGCCCAGGCAGATTGAAGCGCGATTGTCCTGGAGGGACATGACGAAACATGAACTCGGGATACCACCTCCACCACCACCAGCAATCGCAGCATCAGCAGCCTGAGAACAACGGCACCATGTCCCAACACATGACCATGGCGCCTCCTGCCACCACCCCGTACCAACAGACACACCCACCAACCTTACCGCCGCCGGGACCCGGGCCGCCTCCTCTCGCTCACCCTCACACTCCGACCCATCATCACACCGTACACCCTACGCTCCCACCTCCTCACCCACACCTCCATGCCCACGCCCCTCCTACCAGCCTGGATCCCTACCAGCAGCAGCACCACCATCCTCCTCCGGCTCACATGCAGCCTCCTCACCTGGCCGCCGCTCGTCCTCCGCCACCCCTACATCCCACTCACCCGCCGCCCCAGCATCACCACCATCCGCTTCACCACCATCATCCCCATGCTTCGCCGCACCGGTCACCACCTGGTCCTGAAGACGGAGGACCGGTGAGACAGGTTGTCGCCACGACTGACCTGGCCCAGGCTCAGCACCGCCAGCCCACGCCCGTGTCTCATCATGAGCCAGCTACTGGACGCAGATACCAGTAAGTTGCGAAGCTGGGAATAAGCACCTGGCAATCAACCTACTGACAGCTCTTTTTCTTCCTTCAGACTCGACGTGATGCAACAGCCTGAGCGAGCTCGCATGTGTGGCTTCGGGGACAAGGTACGTAGACTTGTCCATGGTCCCATACGGGACGTCCTGCTGATGGCTGTCTTTTGCTTGTAGGACAGAAGACCGATCACGCCTCCGCCGTGCGTGAGGCTCATCATCACAGACATGACGACAGGGGAGGAGGTGAACTGCAAGTGGGTTGACCTTGACCTGACATCCGGAGCGGTGCCAGAGGAAGAGGGAGAGAAGACATGCTGACGGCAACAACAGGGACATCGACTACTCCAGGTTTGTCCTCCAGGTGGACCTCTGGGATGAGCACGGGACACAGGAGATCAACCTCTGTCGGAACAACTCGAGCGCCAGCGGACCCCCCGCCTCGTCGGCCAGCAGCAGCTACTCGTACTCTCCCCTTGCGGGCAGCGAGGCACGCTACCCTCCACCGCAGCAGCAGCAGCAGCAGCAGCAGCAGCCGCCGCCACCCGGGCAGCAAGCACTGCCTCCCAGCCGGGACATGACCTACGGACAGTCATCACCCATGGGATACTCGCAGCAGCCAGACTATCAGTACAGCCAGGTGACGACACCCTCTTACACCCCTCCCAGCACGACCTACGGCCCTCCGCAGCAGTACTTCCCCGCCCACCAGGCCACGGCTCGGTACGATGCCGGGCCGCCGCCGCAGGTGAGCTACATGGACAGTCCGGGCCCGATGGTGTCGTACGTCAACGACCACAAGACGCCGTGGAGCCGGAACCTGATTGGCAGCGTGGCGGCCAGCGCGTTCTGCCTCGTCGACACTCGCGGTCGTGAGGGTATCTGGTTTGTCCTCCAGGACCTGAGTGTTCGACTAGAGGGGAAATACAAGTAAGTCACTCCATTCTGTCGCCGTCCGTTTATGGAAAGCCAGTCTCTTATCCTCCGTTTCCGCGGGCAGGCTCAAATTCTCCTTCGTCAACATCTCCCGCCCCGGTCCCGGTACAGGGCTGAGGGACAGACCGGCCACCATGATCAACAGGGGCAGGACACCGATCCTAGCGTCATGCTTCAGCGAGAGCTTCCAGGTCTTCTCGGCCAAGAAGTTCCCGGGTGTGTGCGAGAGTACACCTCTCAGCAAGACGTTTGCGGGGCAGGGTATCAAGATTCCTATCCGCAAAGATGGGGGTAAAGGAGGGGAGGATGATGACGACTGATCGCATGATATTATTCTTTCTTATAACGAGTTTTCTACCTTTTTTTATACCCTTGTTTATACGAGTATCGCTACTACTTGATACTCTTCCTCTCTATACGGGATGAGTTCCAAAAGGGAAATCCGGGGTTCGTTTCTTGTACCAGAAGAAAATAAGGCAATAACAGGCCTTTGCCAGATGTTAGGTAAGTAATGTCATCGGAGTTTTCATTACGTTTTTTTGTTGCGGGGGAGAGGGAGGCGGGGGGAACGATCTACTAGTATGTAGGTACGAGTAGTAAGTAGTATTACCTGATGGTACAGCTGCGAGTAATATTCATACTTTGAATATATCCAATGCTACATGTACTACGAGGATGTCCTCTTTTGTTTCTTTTTTTTTTCAGTCTCATGATTGACTCTTGATGTGAGTCTTTTATTTACCCCTGACCCTGGCCATGAGGCTGATGTTCGAGATTTACATCCTTTTAAGGTTATTGAGCCTAGAAGGGACGTAGAAGGGAAGCTTTGCGCGGGGGAGTAGCCTGTAGCCTATTGGCAAGTTACCAGGGATGGACATTGGCGGGGCAAAAGTGGCAGCCGCACCGAAAGCAGATGGGAGAAAAACCTGTCAAGTACAGTACGAGTACTGACAGTAATAGCAGTATCACTACCTGTACTCGCAAGTATCAACTTGCAAAAAGCCTTGTCGGTGGGTTCCGTACTCCGTACGGAGTAGTCCACTCAACCGATGGAAAGTGGGCAGAGAGAGCTAGAGACTAGGCCACTAGAGGTCATAGTCATGTACCATGATGGACACGGGACCGTAACTGGAACCTAGAGCTGGAGCCACCCTGGGGCTTGTAGACTGTCCGCGTGCCAGATCGAAGTTTTTTCTTCTTCTCCTTTTTTTTTAGCAATTTTTTTTTATACGTCATGGGTTAATATACCTAGGTACGTACCGTTTAAGCCCAAGTTGTGGTTTTTAAAAAGAAGGCCGTTCATCACCAAAATACTACATAGACTGACGTGATTACACCTGAGTCACGAAGACACGACACGCAGAACAGATACTTCTCTTTTCTTGGGGGTTTTCTCCTTTCAATCTCTCTCTCTCTCACTCTCTCTACATTCTTAACATCCCATACTTCAAAACTGCTTGGCCAATTCCAAACCTCTCGGAAGATGACATCTACACCATACTCGTCGCACGGCCGCGGAGGCGCAGGCAACATAAGCTCTTCCCAGTCTCCACGTCTCGACCCGGCAAAGGACCTAGAGACTCCCACCCTCAAGACTCCCGTCGTGACCACCGGACGTGGAGGTACGGGAAACATGGCCAAGAATGTTGATGCTGCTGAGACGAGGGCTCGTCAGGATGTTGAAGCGTACGTCTCTCTCTCTCTCTCTCTCTCTCCCTTACTTCCCTTTCTCCCTCTCTCACTTGACCCTCCGAAGGAAGTAAAGAATGAAAGACGAGTACTGACAATCACACAGAGTACCTAGGAGACCCAGCTCGGGAGCACAGCACGCCGGTCGCGGAGGAGCAGGCAACGTCTTCAAGGGAACAGACGACCAGCACCGCGCCGCCTCGGACAAGCACGAAAAGGCCGTGGCAGACGAAGACTCCGACTCCAGCGGTGACGGTGTCGCCGAAAAGGCCAAGAAGCTGCTGCACCTTGGTGGTAGCAAGAAGGCATAGACAGACTCAGACTGCTTTCCTTCCCCTTTTCGCATTGGCGGTAGCACGGGAGTTTCTCTTCCTCTTTCTTCTACATTTCCTCTTCTTTTGGAATATCTTGCGCTGGCAGGAATAACTTGGGGCGGAGTAATAAAAGTTCTTGCGTGTTTTTTGGTTGGTCTTTTTTCACACGATCTGTTACTTGCGAAACGCAGGCTTTCTTTTCTCACCGAAGGGAAGGGGGGGGGGCAAAGGATACGCTATGATGATGATATAATACTATACCCAGGCTTTTTTTTCCTCTTTTAGAAAACACCTTGCCTTTTTTTTTCTTTTGCAAAATGAGGTACACGCACAAATACTAAACCCTCCCTTGAAGCATTTCGCCATATATTATTGTATGTGTATCCTAAATCCTTGGAATTTTTTTTTTCATGCATTGTTCCTACGTTGTTTCTTCGTCATTACGGTGGATGTAAAGTCATAATGCAACCTTTATATGTCGTATGCGCACGTTCAAGCCTTGCTGGTGAGACGGTGAATTTCCTCGAAAAAGTGCTTCAGGTTGTCGGGGTTGACGCCGGGAGTGATACCTGTTCACGGTCAGTATGGTAATTGCATCAGAGACGATGAGTGTGTAGTGGAGGTGGATGGGGGGGAGACAGAGAGATGACGTACCGTGCCCAAGATTGGCAATCCAACCCTTATTGCCCACCCAGAAACCCTGGACCATGGTCTCGACAGCCTTGGTGATAGCCTCGCGCGTGCCGTACAGGACACCAGGGTCGGCATTGCCCTGGAAGACGACGTTGCGGTCTCCGCGAATCTTGACGGCTTCTGCGGGGTCCTGAAGCCAGTCCATGCCGACGACGTCGTACCCGAGGTCGCAGGCCGAGTCAAGGGCATGCCAGGCGCCCTTGGGGAAGACGGTCATGGGGACACGGTCGATTCCCATAGCGTTCAGCTTGATAGGGAGCTTCTGGGCGATGTAGGCCAGATAAGGCTCCGAGAATTCCTTGAAGGCAGCAGGGCCGAGTTCTCCTGCCCACGATTCAAAGACCATGACGAGCTTGTTATCCAGGCTTGTCAGTACAAGGACCTAAAAACTCTTCAAAAGGCCCCCGCGGGAAAAGAGGAGGGGGGGGAGGGGCATCCTGTCTTTCTCTTCTTACCTGAGCACCGGCTCTGACCTGCTGGGCCAGATGGTCAACGCAGACGTCGGCAATCTTCTGTAGGAGCCTCTTGGTCTCGTCAGGATACCTGTAGATCCACGTCTTACTCTGGGCGAAAAGCTTGGTGCCGCCGCCCTCGACCATGTAGCAGAACAGGGTCCAAGGGGCACCGCAGAATCCGATGAGGGGTACCCGGCCGGCCAGCTTGGTGCGCGTCAGGGTGATGGCGCTGTAGACGTAGCCCAGCTCGGCCGAGACGTCGACGGGCCGATCTAAGACGCGCGCATACTGCCCGTCGTCCGGGGACCTGAGCGGGTCAGGGAAATGAGGCCCCTTCTTGTCCACCATCTCCACAGTCATTCCTAGGGCCTGTGGGATCACGAGGATGTCGGAGAAGATGATGGCCGCGTCCAGGAGGCCGGCGAACCGCTCCACCGGCTGGAGAGTCAGCGTAGACGCCACCTCGGGGTCGCGGCAGCACTCGAAGAAGTCGCGTCCGCCCTTGGCCTCGTGGTACTCAGGAAGGTAGCGACCGGCCTGGCGCATCACCCACATGGGTGGTCGTTCGACGACTTCGCCTGTTTTTCTTTTATCAGGTGGCGTGGTCTGAGGAGGGGGAAGTGAAGAAGTGGTGGGGAGAGTTGGGGAGGTAAAGGTGTGCTTACCCCGAGCTGCGCGGAGCAGCAGATCATTCTTCAACGGCTCGAATGTGAGCTCCATAGTGCTGCTTTGTGAATTGTCCCGACTGACTATTCTCGGCGGTTGGTGAAGTCAAAAGAAAGCTGGCCGATTCACGTCGTTGATGGGTGGGGAAGACGGAGGGGCATCTTGTCCGTTTGCTCTTCCCCAAGGGTCCCTTTCCCCGCCACAAATACCATTGCAGGTATAAAACTCTGTACTTCGCCTCGTTCACCTTATTATTTTTATTTTATTTCTAGCTGACTGATTGAAGTTAAGTTACATCATTCATAACACAATATCACGGCGAAACAAAATTGGCAGTCACTACTATAATACCACAATGGGTGCTGTAGTCCTGGCAGTCTATTACTAGCACCTGCTCCGCTAGGACCGCTGCAGCCGACACCGGCTTAGATCATCAAGTACACGGGTCGTACAAGACTTTGCGCACCTCACCTACTCTATCGCTCAAGACGCCATGTAATGGGATGCTTCTCATATGTATGAAATCAATTGAAAGAAAGCAAAGACGTACTTTTTCTCCCTTGATTCTAACACTTCCTCACTCCCAGTACCATAAACATCTAACATGGCTGCGGACCTATACGTAAACGCAACAACGTAGTCACGTGCGGGTTTAAATCCCCAGCTCCGCCGACAGCCACGTCCACCATAGAAGATGGATCTAGACATCGCGACATCAAGCTTCCCAGCGTTTGACATCACCACCACCTCTCCAGCCCGCATCGCCCGAACGCTCCACGCACGCGCCCGCATAGTACGAAAATAACCGTAACCGCCATGTCGACCGAGCGCGAGTTCCAGATCAAGCCCATCGTGGGCGAGTCTATAATGCACAATACGAAGGTAAGCAAGGCAAGCAGGCGATGAAGCGTCCTGTCCTCTATACTGACTGTTCCCCCCCCCCCTTCTCCTCCCCACAGAGCCTCTCCAATCTCTACAGCTTGACATCCTCCCTATTTGGTGTCACCGCCGGCATCCTGGGTCTCGAGTCATATGCCGGCTTCCTCCTCTACCTCGTCCTGTCCGTCGTCACCACCCTCCTCGTCTACGCGATTCGTGTGGCCCCCGACTCCCTGGCCAACGGCCGTCCCGTCTTCTCGACCGATCGCTTCTTCAGGAACGCAGTACAGTTTTGGTCTGGCGGGCTTGCTAGTGGTGTGTCGGGGTTTGTTCTGACCTGGACTCTGTTCTATGGTCTAGTGAGGGTATAATGGTTGCGTTGTGTCCGTGCATCCCGGGTGCCGTAGGAGCATAGAAAAAGAAAACGGTTATAAAAAATCAAGTTTCATTTCGATTTCAACGAAGCGTGCATATGCTTTGAAGTGAGAGGTTAAGCATAGAGAAAGGGAAACAGGAAGCTAATATAGCAAGCAAATTCATTCTACGATTCGGTCAATCAACAATCTCGATGATCCTTCCAACATACCCTTCTAACCCGGACCTGTCCTGGCTTCCACCCTCCAAAAGGATAACAGGCGATCCCATCTCGACCCACTCGCGATTATGAAGCAGCTCGAGAGAGACTTGCGTTCCACTAATCTGGTCAGTATCCACGTCACCCTGGTGCCTCTCCATGTCTTCGCTCAGGCTGAAGACGCTGTCGACGTCGTGCGCCATGGTACCGGACTGGCTCGGGTGCGTTATCCTCATAACGCGTGCCGCCGCCCTCACGCTCGCGACATAGACATTAACAAATGACCCCGGGGCAAGTGAGGCGATGTCCGGGTCGTTATTGAACGCAGCCGTGAAGCCGCTAGCCGCCTGTAGCGACAGGCCCATCGACGCCGTGTGCTCTGACAAGATAGCTAGCACCATTCCCCTGCGGATGCGTGGCGCCGGCGGTGGCGGCGTAGCTGGCGCTGCGTGTCCAAGGTTGGCCACCTCATTTCCCTGGCCAGAAGACTCAAACACGAGACCGACTGACCCGGCCTGCCCGGCCTCGAGAGTACGCACCGGAAGCCGGAGGTTTCGTACGCTGGCAATCTGGGCCCTGTGCCACTCACCGGTCGTCGACGACGCCGATACGGCGTTCTTCATGGCCACTCTGGCCAGCTGCGACGAGAACGGGTGCGAGATGGAGAGTCCGTAGTTGCCCGGCGAGGCCTTATCCTCTGTCGCGAAGCTACGTGACTCGTCTTCACTCGGCGGGAACGGCCCGACCACGATCTTGTCGCCGATGGACAAACTCCCGAACCGGACATGGCCAGAGACCACCACGCCCCTGTCGGCCTGTTGCCTTGGTCCCGCAGCCAGCGTCCTATACGAAGCTGGAAGGCTGAAGGTGTCGTCGATATGGAACAGGCTGCTCGGTTGCTCAGGGTTTAGCGCCATGCCCACATAGTCTCGGGACGTCGGCGGCGGCGGCAGGGGGAGCCCCTCCAGGAGTGCGTGCACGAGGCCGATCCCGATGCCCTTGACGGCACTCGTCAGCACAATAGGCACGTACTGCGTCAAGCTCCCGCAGTCAAGCATGCTCTGCACGGTGCCTTGGATCTTGTCGTGGTCGGCCCTAGGAATTCGCTCGAGGTCCAGACCCGGCTGTTTTTGGTCCGGCTGGACTATTTTAGGCGTGCGGCCAGCGTCCTTGATGGCCGTAAGAACCTTGGACATGGTCTTGTGGAGACTAGCCTTGGACGCCAGGTCCAGCTTAGTGATGACCACGGCCAGAGGCACATTCAGCTTGAGAGACAGCGTCAGATGCGCCCTCACCAGGTCCACGCCGGCCGCCGCTTCGCCAAGCACATCCCGGGCGGTTGACGTCTCGCCCGGATTCCTAACCCCGGTGTCAGAATCGTCAGCCGCTATGCACAGCACGCTCCAGTGCGGCGCCCAGCTCATGAGGCCGCGAAGCACAGTACGTCTGTATCGCGGGTGGCCACCCGAGTCTGAGACAAAGACAAGTCGCCCGCCCTCGGCGCAATCGTGAATATCTGTCCATGATTCAATATTGCTCTGGGAGAAGTTCAGGATGTGCAGGTCCCGATATCCTATGAGTTCCTGGGCAATTGAACTCGTCACGCCAGACATGACCTCGTGCCGGTGCTTGAGCAGACCAAGCCGGCTCTTGCCTCGACCATTGTCCAAGGTCCCGGTTGACAGCGTGCCCAGCAGGCTCGACTTTCCTGAAGTGGTTGGGCCCGTAAAGGTGACTCTCAGCTGTGGAGTCTGAGAGCTACCCTTGCTGGGTAGCACGGTCTGAGCCTCTGATTGGGAGTTCTCCGCGAGACTATTGCCACTGCTACCCTTCTTCCCGCGTCGCTGGTCCTCCGATCCAAGATTTGGCATCACAAGAGCCTCTGCAACCCATAGTCTGGCCTCCTTTGTGGCATCGGCGGACGTTGTCAGATCTAACTCATCCGTGCAACCGGTAGGCTCGACCCATTCGCAGTCGCCCACAATCACCATGCGGAGGACCTGCACGGAGCAACCGAGACTTGCGGCCATGACCCTCAGCGTCTTGAGGCTTTCATCCATCTCGTCCTTTGTCAGCCCGACGAGCGTTCCGTCGTCGAACACGCCGATCTCGTATAGAGCGCCCCTGGATTCTTCGAGCCCGGGTACTAGGCCGCCAAACTCCTCCTTGGCAGATTCCAGGTCGATGACACTGTCGTCAGGCAGCTTAGGCATGGGAATCTCCTTGGAGCTTGAGGCATGGTATGGAGACGACTGCTGAAGACGCCATAGGAGCTGTGTGGTGAGATGTAGCAGCCTCTGCTGACGCGGCTGGCTCGGCCCTGGGGCCCCGACAAGCGCCGCGTTCCCAGAAGCATCCTTGGTCTGGCTGGGCTGGATACCGACCGTCTTGGTAGTCGTAGACATGTACCTGTACGCCCGCCGAGGTCTCAGCAAGAGGTGAAGCTTGTACTCTGTCGGCCCGCTTTGAGGCTCGGCCTCCAGCTTGTGAACGCTATAGTCAGACAGCGAGCTAATTTGGAGGTCGGATCCAGACCCGGCCCCAGCGTTATGATCCGTCTGCTTGGATCCGGAGTCCTGCGGCCGAAGCCATGGGGATTCCACCTTGGGCGGGTCGGGGTCGTAAGTGAAGATCGAAGCCATGGCTAGTTGGCAAAGTTCGTTTCAATCTTATTGTTGGCCGCTTTACAGGAACTGGCCGCTGGGTAATGCTAAAGCAAGCCGTTTCGTTATCTGCAGTATGGATGATTGGTAGCTCCCGAGAGATGTACAGTTGCGGTTCATTGATGTCATCTTGGTAACTTGTTCAATGTCGAGGGCGTTGCAGAGCGGCAAATCGTGAGATGTAAGGGTATCACGATCAATAGATGAAAAAGAAGTAACGGAAGTCTGCTCAGTTGAACTGGACCATGGTCAATCGGACCGATGAGTCAATGCTTTGTGAGGCGTTGCCAATCTAATCGTATCATCAGTCAGTCAGTAAGACGTCCAGACCCTTGTGTGGCTAGAATATATGTATGTGTGCGCGTACAGGATGACAAGGGAAGCCAACAGGTGCTTGCTTTCCCTGGGATATGACGATGTCGGCTGGGTCTGTGTTATTACAGCTGCGTTGCTAGATGCATGAAAGAGCATCCACGGACTCGTAAAGGAGTTGAGTATGAGTAGTAGGAACAGGTGTCGTGGAATAGACAGTCAGAGAGGCTGAATGAGTACCTGGAGTATGTACATATACAGTGCTGTTTTCCTACTTGGGTATAGTGGGTTGTCCTACGCGATGGACTGCCACGAGACTACGAGTACATATACCAAAGTAATAGATGCCACAAAAACTCGTACCAAGGAATAATGTAACATGGGGGGTTGTTGTTTGCCATCTCTTCTCGTATAACCACGTTGTACTGATCAAATATACTACTAGCCTTATAGTGGCTTGGAAGCCTCATTCGTGTTTCTGTTCTCAAAATTACCCTGTATCAAGTGTCCGTATATTTGCGTGAACTGTTGCATAATTGCTATGTGAATAGGGAGGTCGTATCCGTGTTGAAAGATAGGGTTGAAAAATACATAGTAGTGATTTCTTCATATACAGGTTTTTTTTTTTTCATTCTCATAAATGGATTATTTATTGTCCTTGAGCTTTCAGATGAATATGATGATACTTCGTCACTCACCGACTCAACCATTGACAACCTCTTGATAGTCAGCCACAGTATATATACGTACATGAGCCACACATAATCCGTCGCCACAGTAACAACGCACAGACGTGCATAATATTTATCTATTTACCTTTTACTGCATGAATCACAATTTCAATAAAGAAGTGTCCCTCAAAACCATCCGACCCCTCACAAGGTCAACAATCAACAGCACACTCACTGTCAGCAGTCAAAGCGCGTCCCCTTGTGTATTTTTTCTTGCGCGAACAGCAAATAAGCCAGCCGACAAGGCTGTAACAACTTCACGATAACGACGAAAAAGTACTAATCCAGAAGCCCGTCCCTGGCACCACCATCACCATGGCGGCGTCTGGAGATTTGGTCGACTTCGACGTGATCGAAGGGCAAAAAGAGAACATCCAGTCCCTTCCCGGCGGCCGGTCGGCCAAGAAGCTGGCAGACATGTACTCGTCGTCGCCTCTGCAGAAACTGGCAACGCCGACGCCTTCGGACACCCGTAATGTCAACGACTGCATTCGCGCCGAGTACGAGGCTGAAATCGACAATCTGTCCGAAGCGGACGATCCTCTTGACATCTTCGACCGCTACGTGCGATGGACCCTGGATGCCTACCCGTCAGCACAGGCTACGCCTCAGTCGCAACTGCACACGGTTCTTGAGCGGGCGACCAAGACCTTCATCAGCTCTGGCCAGTACAAGAACGACCCGCGCTACCTCAAGATGTGGCTGCAGTACATCCACTTCTTCACGGACGCGCCCCGCGAGACGTATGTATTCCTGTCGCGCCACGGCATCGGAGAACGCCTTGCTCTTTACTACGAGGAGTATGCCGGCTGGCTCGAGAGCGCTGGACGCTGGGCTCAGGCTGAGGAGATCTACCGCATGGGCATCGAGCGTGAGGCCCGCCCCGTCCAGAGGCTCTCCCGAAAGTTCAAGGAGTTTGAAGAGCGCAGACAGGCCCATCAGCCTGACAACGTCGACGGGCCCTCATCCCCGGCTCTCCCTACTGTGCGTCCTGCTCTCGCCGCCAAGACGGACCCCTTCAGCGCCGCCGCTGCCGCCTCCCGAGCCGCCGCGGAACCCCAGGCTACTGCTGCGGCATCACAGCGCGCGGCTGGCGCAAGCGGAAGCTCCAAGCCTGCTAAGCCCAAGATGGCCATCTTCTCAGACATCACCGACTCGAAGCCCCCGGTCTTGTCGTCCAGGGAGACGGGCGCCAAAGGCTGGGACACGATTGGTTCCATGGCCGAACGCAAGAAGGAGAATACGATCGAGCCGAAGCCCTGGTTGGGCGAGACGCTGAAGACGGGGGGGAAGAAGTCCACGGCAGCCAAGATGTCTGTCTTTAGGGATCCGGTAGGCTAGCCCCCTCCCCTTCCCCCTTTCCACACTCATGGCTATAGCCCATATATTGATAATCATAGGACTAATGTGTTGGCTCTGGTTGGGATTTTATCTGCTGTGTCTTAAAATTCTAGTCTTTGTCCCAAATAAACAACATTGTCGTTGTTCCTTCCAAAAACCAGAGTACCGTGCACCCGCAGACGGGCAAGCGCGAGCGCATCTTCGTTGACCTGGCCACTGTATATCCGACGCCCGATGAGCCCGGAACCGAGCTCAGCTTCGAGGAGGTCATGGCCACCCGTCGCGGTTGGCTCGACCGCTCGTGGGAGGAGGAGGCTGTCGATATCAACCTGGTCCCTGAACCAGCTGGGCTGGGCGAGATTGAGGAGATCAGCAAGGGCGTCGGAGGCAAGCTTACTATCCACAGGGACGTAGACGAGAACGGCGTGGCGATGGAGCCGCCAAAGAATCCTCGTGCTGCCAAGAAGAAGAAGTTGATGGAGGTCAACGAGACGCAAATTAGTAGGTTGGCCAAAAGAAAATCTTACTATGGCCCCAACGTCGGCTGCTGACAAGATAAAAACTACACAGTCAAGGCGAAGCTGGACTCGCCCTCAGGCCCCAAGCTCAAGAAGAGGAACACGTCGGAGCCGACAATGACGCTACACACCAAGGCCGCCACCGATGATATCTATGACATCTTCAACGCGCCACTGCAGCCGGCAAATGAGCGGGAGGAAGAGGAAGAAGAGGGTAGCGGTGATGAAGACGACTATGAGACTGACGGAGACTACACAACTGATGGCGAGAGCAATGCCACGACAACAAGGCATATCGATGCCACCGAGCATATCGAGGAAGAGCAAACTACTGCTGTCGGTGGTGATGACGAGGATGCAAAGAGCGAGAGCGAGTGGTCCGACTTCTCCGCTCAGAAACATATGCCTGGCTTCGCGGGGAACGACACGCAGATGTCTGATCTGATAGACGCGGGTCAGCCCGACGAGAATCAAGCTCCCCTCGGCATCTTTCACGACCCAGGCCAGGGAGATGAGGAGGATTCCGAGACCTCCGAGGACCATGTCCCGAGGCCCTTCAGTACATCCTTCATGCCTATCCCGCCTGAAGACTTTGACGTCCCGACCCGGCCTTATAGGGATCCGGCCGAGGTCGCCAACAGCCGACTTCCATTCATGACTCCCATCACCGAGCGGACTGAGGTGTCTCTGGAAATGGATAATGACCGCCGAGATCAGTTCAAGACCCCCTGCAAGCGCGATGAATCATCTACACTGTTCGAGGAAGACGAAGAGGACGAGAATGAGTCCCTCGGGGATCTGGAGCCTATGAGCAGCCCTCTTCGTGATGATGCGAGCCCTCCGAAGCCGATGTTCGGGGCAAACAAGGGTCCTCTCGTGCCAAAGGCTCCTCTGGGACCAAAGCCCGCCATCGCCCTGAGCAAGAAGACGGCTGCTTCCACCAAGCCTCTGCCACCCAAGGGTCCGATCATCAAGGATGCTCAGTGCAACCCTGTGGGCGAGGAGGTGCGCACCGAGATCCTGGCCAACCTCCATCCGCCGCTGTATGCGTACCGTGGCTTCTACGACCACCGCCACGAAAAGTATGAGCGCGGCAACGAGATCCGCAAGTTTGCCAAGTCGATGCAGAGGAGCACCAAAACTGCAAGCGGTGACAGGGCAGGATCCCTCCCGGCGCCCGTCCACATCGAATTCCCCGATGTGGCGACCACTTACACGCTCAAGCGCGAGCTGGGGACCGGCGCCTTTGCGCCCGTCTACCTGGTTGAGAACTCAGACCCCGACGAGGACGGCGGTGATGACGAGAATGCCGTAGCTATGATGGGCCGGGGTTCGTTCGCCGTCAACCACCGACACCACAACGAGGCGCTCAAGATGGAGGTGCCCCCCACCCCGTGGGAGTTCCACATGATGCGCACAGCACACAGCCGCCTGGGCCCGCAGCACAGGGCGTCTGCATCGCTCTCGTATGCACATGCGATGCACCTGTACCAGGACGAAGGATTCCTCTTCCTGCCTCTCCATCCCCACGGCACCCTGCTCGACGTTGTCAACTTTTTCCGCGCCGAGGCTTCGGGCGTCATGGACGAGCAGCTCGCCATGTTCTTCACGATTGAGCTGATGCGGACCGTCGAAGCACTCCATGCCAAGGGAATCATGCACGGTGATATCAAGCCGGACAATTGCGTCCTGCGGCTCGACAACCTTGGAGAGCACCACCTGCACCACCACGAGGAGCTACAGAGCCAATGGAGGCCGGACGGCAGAGGCGGGTGGGATGCGCGTGGCATTGTGCTCATCGATTTTGGTCGTTCCATCGACATGCGTGCCTTTGTCCCCGACGTGCAGTTCATTGCCGACTGGAAGACGTCATCCCAGGACTGTGCCGAGATGCGCGAGGGTCGCCCCTGGACGTGGCAGATTGATTATCACGGGCTGGCGGGAATGATCCACTGCCTCCTGTTCGGCAAGTATATCGAGACGGTGCGCTGCGACCAGGGCGGCATCGGGTTCGTCGGGCGTCGCTACCGCATCCGCGAGTCTCTCAAGCGCTACTGGCAGACGGACCTGTGGTCTGACTGCTTCGACGTGCTCCTCAACCCGGCCGCCTTCCTCGAAGCCGAGCCCACGGGCAGGATGCCCGTCCTCAGGTCCATGCGTAGCGTGCGTGAGCGCATGGAACGCTGGCTCGAGGATAACTGCGAGAGGGGCGTTGGTCTCAAGGCTCTTGTTGGCAGGCTCGAGGCGTTTGCCAAGGGGAGGAGACACTAAAGACACCACACTGAACTTTGACGAGGTTACGAAATTGCAGAAGCAGGCGTTTTTTTATAGTTGTTTTTGTTTCTTGTCTCGACATTATTTGGATGATGGAATTCGAGATACGCCCACGCGCCCAACACCTCGTTTTTTCCCTTTTTTAAATTATTACAAATGTACAGTTAGTTTGCTGCTTATCATCATACATGTCAGTCATTTGCAATATATAATATACCTGAATTGAAAATACAAGAAAGGAAAGGAGACCATGACATCATCACTTCTTCTTGCCCCCCTTTGCCGCCTTCTTGTCAGCCTGAGCCTGTATCTTCTTGCGTTCGTCGGCTCCGCGAGCCTGCAGCTCGGCGTCCAGACGCTTGAACTCGTCGCCGTCGCGGTCCATGCCAATCAGACTCTCGAGAAGCTTGATCTCATCGGCCCAGACCTGCTTGTCCTCGACTGACTTGCCCTTTTCATCCTTGGAATCTATGGGGGTCTCTAGGACCATGGGCATACCACGGAAGCGATCGTCGTTGACTAGGCTGTGAAAGGCGCCGAGACCGAGGAAGCCGGTGCCGATGTTGGCGTGGAGGTCGCGGTGAGACGCGAAGGGGGCTTTGCTATCGTTTACTTTGTTCTTGCTTAGCTTGTGCGTGTGTGAAGGACGAGTGTATAGATAGATAGATAGGTAGGAAGAAAGAAAGAAAGAAAAGAAAGAGAAAAACAGAACATACAGTGGACGGCCTTGAGGTATTGACGACCGACGATAGAGTCGAACTGGGACATTGTGTCGGCAAATGCCTTGGGGGAGCGCAGGTCGTAACCGGCGGCGAAGGCGTGGCAGGTGTCGATGCAGACGCCGACGCGCGACTTGTCGTCGACGAGGGCGATGATGTCGCGCAGGTCCTCCCACGAGGAGCCGACGACGTTGCCGCTGCCGGCCATATTCTCGAGGACGGCGACGACGTGGCGGGTGGCGCCGTGAGCCCTGTTGAGCTGGCCGGCGATGCGGGCGATGGCCTCGCCGCGCGGCTCGCCGTTGGTGTTTCCCGGGTGGAAGTTGTAGAGGCGGATGCCCAGGTCGTCGCAGCGGGAGAGGTCGTCGACGAAGCTCCTGTAGGCCTGGTCCGCCTTGGCGGCGTCCCGCGCTGCCAGATTGACCAGGTACGAGCCGTGCGGGAGGGAGTGCGACGCCGCATCGTACGAGTGCGCCCGGCACTGGTTCGCGAACTGCACACGCGCCTCGGCCGCCAGCGGCGGGTTATCCCACTTGCGCTGCGACTTGAGGAACAGGGCGAAGGCGTTGGCGCCAATGTGCACGGCGTTGGTGACGGCATTCTGCACACCTGCGTTACGCACGTAGTCAGTACTGGTACTACTTTCTACGGATGATGTATGAAGGTAAATGACATGTGATGCGATAAAAAACAAACCTCCTGCTGCGCTGACGTGGGCTCCAATGTACATGGCCTTCTTCATGCCAGATATGGCTGTGCGCTCTGCTAAAGGCATGCTGTCGTCTTGCGCCTTGGCTGTGGCCTTTTTCGGCGCTGTCTTGGGCTTCTTGACAGCAGGAGCAGCCTTGGTGTTGCTCAGCTTCTTGCCGCCGCCGCCGTCGTCGTCGTCGTCGTCGCCTTCGTCGTCTTCTTGCTTGCGCTTCGTCCCTGTCGAATTGCCCTTACTCGTCGTCGACTTGACCTCGTCGTCGTCGTCGCCATCTACTTCCCTGTACTTTACGGCTGCCTTCTGGCGAAGCGATGCTCGGGCCATGGTATGATGTGGTTCGGTGTTCCGTAGCGCATTCACCTCAACCTGTAAGTGACAATTAAAGATGCATAGAGTGGTGACAGAGCTTGACCAACACGAGCAAAAAGAAAAAGAAAGAAGAAAAGCGCCTGGTCCCTCATCTCGAGTGCGACGCGGTTAGGTGGGTAGCTCAGGAAGACGCGCTCCCACGTGACTTCTTAAAAGGTGACACTCATATATCTTGGATTCAAGGGGCAAACATTCTGGGCGTCACCTGTATGACCCTTAAGTTGCCTACTCCGTAATACGTCACACAGCAGCAGAAACTGCTGTGGTCAAGAACACCTTGGTTAGTCAATACTAGCATCAACAATCGTCTCCATTCGCACAAGGAGTGTATTCGTAGAAACACATGGTATTACAAGACAGAAAAAGAATCAGAGAAAGACAGCATCAAGCATATCAGTACTATCCACAAACCAAACACATACGAGACACACAAAAGCTCCTTCATTCCAGCACCATCTTTTTTTGGCCTCCAAGCGTTTCCTTCTTCTTTTTTTTTCTTCTTCAAAAGAAACGAGCCAGTCGAGACACGAGAACAAGGTCAGATCGGTAGGAAAAGAAAAGAGAAAGAAAAAACAAACCTGCCATTCCCTTAAGAGACAAAACAATCAAATAGGGAGCCCAGTGCTACTACAATCTGGACTCGTGGAGGGGACCGAAGGATGAAAGAAAATAAGAAAAAGAAATGAGATTTCGCAATCCATCATAGCCCCCCCCCATCGCCTCGCCTTCACCACCCCCTTACACCGTAGAATAAGTCTGAAGAAGAAGAAAAGTTGAGAGAGCAAGACATTGATATCTCGAACACGCTAAATACTGTCTTGTCATCATTTACGAGTTCTGAAGCATCTCAGAATCACGCTGCTGCTGACCACCCCTGAGAGTGGCAACCTCTTGGTCCAGATATTCCACCTTGTCAGACAATGTCTTGACCTTGTCCTCCAGCGCCTGGATGTACGCCCACACGCTCGGGTCGCTCTGAGCGAACATGTTGCGGCTGTCACTGCTGGCGGACGAGGCGTTACCGCCCGCGGGGGCGCCGCCAAATGCTGGTGCAGCCGTGAACCCTCCTGGGTTTGACAGACCGGAAGCCGACTTCGTCGTCGACTGCCCGCCACCACCGGGGAGAGATGTCGACTCTCTCCGGTCCCCCTTTTGCGGCTGCGGCTGCGGCTGCTGCTGATGCATGTGCTGAGAGATTCCGGGTGACCGCTGGTGGTTCGAGTCTTGGTGGCCTGTTGTCGGTATGCCGGGGCTCAGAGCCTTGGGGCTCTCGGTCATGCCGGTCTGCGAGTACATGCCTCCTGGGTTGCCGCCGGACAGGGGCGCAGACGAGACGCTCGTGTTGGTGGCTGCTTGACTGCTGGTCATGCTGTTGGGCACACTCGACGACCCGGCTCCTTGCGGCTGGCTGACGCTGGGAGGATACAGGCCACCGCCATTGCCGCTGCCTGTCGACCGCGGGATGGCGGGGGGGTAGGTCCGCGAGTGCGCCGCGCCGTAGGCGTCGCCCACGCCTTGTGGACCGCTAGAGGCACTCGTGGGCATGCTCTGGCGCCGGAGCTCGTCGTCGCCCGTGTCGTAGGCCAGCCCCGACATGGTGGAGTCGTCTCCGTCTCCGAGCGTGTGGTTCTCGAGATCGTCACCGTCGACGAAGCTGCCCATGCTGGACCGACGCCCTGCACAGCCACCGGCGCCCTTTGTGTGACGCGCTAGAGCGTCGCCGCGGGCAAACTTGCGGTCGCACTTGGGGCAGATGTGTGGCTTCTCGCCCGTGTGAAGCTTCCCGTGCCTCTTGAGGTCGTGGAGGCGGCGGAACCGCAGCGGACACTCGGTGCACACGTACGGCTTCTCTTGGCTGTGCGTGAGCAGGTGGCTCTTGAGGTTGTGGTGGCGCGTGAACTCGATGTCGCAGTAGGGGCACTTGTGCTTCTTGGATGCCGACGTCGGCGACGTCTGCCCGTGTACCGGCATTGGATAGCTCATGCCACGCGGGGATGGCTCTGCCAGGTGTCCGCTCGCTTGCAGGGAGCCCGGATATGATAGGGAGTTCGGCTGCGACCTCTCCTCCTGCCCGGCCACCCGGTGACCCAGGCCACTGTCCGTCTTGTTGTCCATGTCCATGGGCGTCGGGCTAGTGGTGACGGGTGCACCGGATATACCGTTGGGGCTCTGCGGGCTGGCGTCGCCCCCCTCCTCGTCGGCGCGGTCGGCAGCCTCCGCGGCCATCATGGGCGCGTTGTTGTTCTGCCTGGGCGATCCCGGCTCCATGCTAGCGGTCGGGACGGACTGCGGGGTGTCGGCCGGGCGGCTCATGGCTTCCGTGGCCCCTGAAAGAAGCGATGCGAGGACTCTATGGCTCGGGTGGTCGCTGCCTGCCGGAGGGCTGGGGGCAGCGTCCTCGGCTTCGCGTTGGTAGCGCTCGTCCTCCAGGGCGGCAGCTCCGGTCAACGGTGTCGGTAAGGGGCCCACAGCGAGGGCTAGACGCGCAGATTTGGTGGGCGACCCGAGGGGATTCAGGTCGTGTGACGCCAACGAATTCGGCGATGGAGGTGTGTCTTCGCGCGGACGTTTGAGCAGCCTGGCCGTCTCCTGTTGTTGCTGTGGAGTGAAGGTTCCGGCCAGAGGGGCGGTCACTACTACCGAGTGGGCCGGGGACGGGGCCTCGGTCGCGACGGCGGCCGCGTCGGATGCCATGGAAAGTGAAGCGATAGCGACGCCAATGTAGCTCCTCGACTTTGAATACGGTGTTGTGCAGGTAGGAATGTCTTTTGCGCGCTGGTGGTTCAACGACGCATGTCGAGGCGTCGGGTTGAAGGTGTGGCTGGAGAGCGTGGCGAAGAAGGCAGATGGCCTAGGTCCTTTGTGTTGGTTCTAGCCTATTAGGACGCAATTTTTTGGCGAGGCACTAATAGCCATAGGTAGCAATAATAGCGGGAAGGGATCAAAATAGTAATAGTAGCTTCCTTCCTCTTCTCTCTCTGTTGGGGTAGATGGCAGTTCAAATAAACAAATACTGTAAATGAAAGAATTAGTCTTCCTGCCAATACCGCGGATAGTGTTGAGAAGAATGGTGGTCAGGAAAAAAAAAGAAAAGATGGAATTGGGTCAAGTTCAAGGCAGGCCAAGGGCCGGATGAATGAGGAGAGAGAAGGCACCACCTCAGAGGCTCAGACTGGCCGGGCGGCGGAACTGCTGGCTGGACGGTACGAGCGCTCGTACCAGTGAGGCCCACAATCTGGCCAAGGCGAGCCACTGATCTGTCTAGGAGCCCCCGGCCGGCTGGGAGTCCATCTAGCATCACCTTTTTTTTTTTCTTTCTTGTTCTCAACCTGCACGGATTTGGATATGATGCGCGGGCAGAGTAATACAGGGGGGGGGGGAGGGGGACAAGCTGCACCACTTAGCTGCACCACTTGGAGGCAGCAATGGTTTATGCACGACAAAGAGGGATGCGATGCAGACGATAGGGATAATAGATGGGATCAGATAGATAGGAACAATGATGCTGGGGCCCGTCGAGACAAGACAGACAGGTAGACGAGATGTCGTATGTACCTACAGAATTGTACAGAAAGTGATGCCCCAGCCACTCGCGCTTCGCAGTCGTCTCTCCACTTTGAGGCGGTAATTGCTGAGCTCGTGCCACACTCTCTCACACCACACGCTCCGACAGCAAAGTTGGTGGTGGATGGATGATGAGAGAGAAGGGATGGCAGGATAAGCTCAACCTAGACGTCTGGGGTCAACAGAACGATGCCTGTTGACAATGACAAGAGCAATTGATCGTCCCGTCGGTCAACGGTGGTGTTCTTCCAGAAAGATCAGAAAGAACAGAGGAAGAGAGGGAAAGAGAGAGAGAGATGAACCGCGCAAGGAACAAGTGGCGTGTGTGTGGCGGAGCTACGAACCGTACGCAGTAGGGATGGGTCAGCACAGCCTCAGGGCAAAGCCTCAGGTTCCGCCGTGCCTGCCTTCATTCGTGTTTTTCACCCTCTGTAGCCTGAGGCATCACTGTGTCCTCGCGGCTGACTGTCAGGGTTCTGGCGACAGCCACTCATCACCTACGAAACGATTTGTGGCGTTTGAAGTTTCCCCATTCGCGGCGTAGCGCCGTCAGCTCCACCCCAGCCACTTACGACGTACATACATCGAGAGTACCCGTACTCATCAGGTATTCCTATGCTACTGGACGATGATAAAAACCGCGCAGCGTACGAGGAGCGGTATCACTAACGCGGGCCAACGATGTGCGGCGGCAGTCTTGTTGACATCATCCACCTCCGGCTTTGTTTGTTGAAGAAGCCCGACGGCCGTTTGTTGCTGTCGACTTTTTGCCTCCCCCTCACTTGCTGCGCAGCCGGTGCGACTACCAAGTCAGGCTAGGATTTTCCCTATCCGGGGGATTTTCTTGTTGCATCGGTGCACGCCTGCTATAGGTATGAGGGATTCGGTCCTAGGCAATACTCCGTGTCTCCAGGTAATTTCTGGCGGTGAGAGTTTGATAGTTGTCTCCCGCGGTTCGTGATGCCCGAAAGGGCGCCATGCTGGCCACTCAATAATCATCATCACTTTTTACCTGCCTGACCTTTGCATGCAAGACCAGCGATGGCGACGAGGCACGAAAAAACAGCGGATAGGGGCGAATCGAGACTTTCCTCTCTGATATGGCACCGTAGAAAGAAGAGGATGAAAACAATGGAGAACCATCTCGGAGAGGGAGGGGAAGGGAGGGGGGAGAAGTTTCCACCATCGTCGAGAAAATATGCGTCTGAATCTTTGCCCTCTGTGCATCGGAGATATCACGCGCCTCTCTCTCTCTCTCTCTCTCTCTCTGCCGCGGGCTCTCTCGTGTGTATCATCATCATGCATCGAAACCCCCGACCGGCCCGCCAGATCAGACAAATCAGGTCGGCCGCGAGTATTGACCGTACTGCTCGCAGCTTGTTTGTTGACAAGCTTGTCATTCTAGCTACCAGTAACAGCAAGGCACATTTCATCATCCCATCTATCACCACCACTTGCACGGTCGCCCTGCCGTACATGCATACACTACTTCTGTACTCACCACCCTTTTGGACGTCGTTCCCGCCCCCTTCTACTCCGGACGATGCCGAGAGCACTGACGACGATACGAGCGACCCGCAGCGAGAACCTTCTCTTCATCATCCCAGCAACAAAGACCTCACATAGGCTGTCTGGATCAGCGGATACAATATCGGTCTTGGTCCATCGACCAGTTCAGGTACGGCCCGTACGGAGGTACGGAGTGGTATGCTACCTAAAAATAAACCACGAGGGAACAACAAGAGGTGCTTTAAATGCTTGTCAGCCCTCGGTGGTGCTCAGTGCTTTAGACCAGAGCCAAGGTGAGGAGGCTGCTGAAACAGACAGATGGAGAAAGGGGAATAATACCCGCCCATACTATAGCCGTGAGTAAATACGAGGGGACATATCATCAGCTAATACAGGAGGTGTAATCTGTATACGACGGAGTCGGGATCCAGTATGACGGATTGGCTTTGGTACGAGTTGATGCGGGACCTTGCTTTCGGAGACGGATCAAAAGAACGGGCTCTTTTCACGCTCTTCTGCTTGTTATGGAGCAATATTGGTTTGATGCTCCGTTGCAAGACTTTGCATGTGGTCTTCTATCCCTCCTCTGTGCATGTGCTGGGGAACGAAGTGCACGAGTACAGGTATAATACAAGAAATGTTGTAATCTGTACTCGTAGCATCAAAAGCAATGCTTGTACACCACCACCACCACCACCACCACCACCACCACCACTACTACTACTACTACTACTACTACTACTACTACTACTACTACTACTACTACTACTACTACTACTACTACTACAACTACTAC